CTGCGGGGCTATCACCGGACTGTCTGTCGCCGATCGGGCCATGGACAACCTGCCAGGTGGAGTTTTGGGCTTCATCAACCTCTGCGGGTACATCTTTCCGGGAGGCATGGATCAAGGCGCTGTTATTCGCAGCCTAGGTGGTCTTCCTTACGTCAATTGGGATACCCCTTCTCCAGGACTCTTTGTCGCCAAAGACCCTGGTAGTCTTCTCTACCGACCCGATGTTTCGGACCAGCAGACACAATGGGCACTGTCTCAGCTGCAGCCACAGAGTATGGCTGCCAACATGGGGATCGTCCCTCCTCAAGCATGGCAGGAAGAGTCTTATAAAGGTCGCTTGGCGTATATCAAAGCGACAGAGGATGCCGTCATTCCCTTTTCCGACCAGGAGAGCATGATTTCTTCGAGCGGAGGGAATGAAGCTTGGAATATTCGTGTGCTAGAGGGATCTGGGCATAGTCCGCAGATCTCTCGACCCAGTGAGGTTGCACAGGTAGTTGACAGTCTGATCCGAGGCTTTGAGATTCGCAAACAAAAGGAATAGAGCTGACTATGATCTCGGTATCGCATATCAGAGAATAGAGATGGACGTGTTATTCACTTCTAAGCTTTGTCTAGTGATATTGACAGTGCGACCTTGGATTGTGACTTGCATTGCCTTGACCTTTGGGATTTGACAGAAACTTTGTAAGAAGCAACATATCTACAGTTGGAGCATCATAGAAGTTCACAACGGGAAAAGTATAAATAAGCCACTATATTTGCTTCTCAGTTTCTTAATTATATTTTTCTGCAGCATTGATTTTATGTCGTTGAAATATTAATTCGTGGCTGAAATATCGCTTCTAGGGTAACTGGTTTGGTCGTCATTAAGCAGAGCCTCACCTTACCACGGGAAATGCCTGAATGAGATTTCTGAGCCGCACGGGAACTCTGCAAAGCCGCACCAGAATAAGCGCATTTCCATTAGCCAACCGCTGGTTTTGATGCAGCGCAAGATTGCTCAATCTCGCTCAAAGCGCCGAGAACTGCAATATCTGCTCATAAGCAATAATTCGTCATATTCTTCGCAAATCGTCAGAAAGTTCGGAGATTTCAAAAAGAAAGAGTTCCCGAGCGTGGGAGAAAACATTAAAAAAATCGAAATTCCAGCTGGTGAGCGAAATTCTTCCCCAACCGCGGGAAGTCAAATCGACGAGCAGCAGCCGCGGGATCTTGAATGTCAGGGATCGTACCCGCGGGAGCGAGCAACATCAGGCCAGAGGTGGGTTCGTGAGTCGAGAGCGAAGGAGCACAAGCAAATGAGTGACGATGAAGGGGAGGACGAGGCCGGGGCATCAGGGCTTCTTATGTGCCGTTCGTGCCGAGAAAAATGGGCCTTGGCATCGATCTAAGCCCCGTCTTGGCAAAGTCCAAAGAAGCTAGGACGAGAAGAGTTGGAGGTTGCGGGGGTCACCGATGAAGCTTAACTTGTTAATGCGGAGATGGCCCTGTCGGACACGGGGACTTGGGTGATCTCATCTCAAACTTGTGGGATCAGATGAGGTGCAGTGAGTCTAGATGCAGTGTTCAAAGCTCAAAGGGCTCGACGCTTGCGTGTGCCATACCACTATACCGGTAGTGTTCTGGAAGCCTTCTCGGGATTAACACTGCTCCCTTCGACTATTGACTCGCCACCAACTCAATCTTCTCCGCACTCGCACGGGTATGGATATCATGCTCAATAAACCGGGATCCCGCCCCATTTCTTTCGTCGGCGAATTCTACCCGCGGGAACAATATCACCTTCTGTCTCCATCAACAGCCATCACCAACTCCATCAAACCCAGCAATGACAAACCGAACCGTTTCTCAATCTCCATGGGGTAAATCACCCGAATCAAGATTTACCCCATGGGCAACCGACTTAGTGACACCTCGTTTCAATCCCCTATAAGATCAGGGTCCCCCTTCGTCCCCAAGCTTTCCCCAATCACTAGGCCAGTCCAGACCAAGCATCCAAAGCTTAAAGAGTCAAGACCACCCAGACAAGCCAACCCATCTCTTCCCCTCTTTCGAACAGAACCCCATCACAATGGCTGGAGGCGTTGTCAAGAAGCCCGTCAACATTTTCAAGCTGGGCGATGTCGGTGAGCCAAAGGGCGTCTTTAACTGGCGACTATGGTTTGCTGTCTTTGCTTTCGGCCTCATGGGTGCGGCCCGCGGTATTGATGAGGGTCTCATCTCAGGTGCTTTCAAGTCAAAGGACTTCAAGAAATACATCCACTTTGAGGATTACTCGACTGTCGAACAGGCCAACATCAAGGCTAATGTTTCGGCCATGGTTCAGATTGGTTGTGTTGGAGGTGCATTGATGTAAGTATATGTCCTCATGCAATCTGACGAGACATCCACTGACTCCTTTGCTTTAGTGCTTTCCTTATCTGCGATAGAATCGGACGTATCTGGGCTACTCGACAGCTCTGCATTGTTTGGATCGTCGGAATCGTCATCTTCATGGCCAACGGTGGCAGTCTCGGCGCCGTATACGCTGGTCGTTTCATCGCAGGTCTTGGAGTTGGTCAAACAGCCGTTGTCGGTCCCGTCTATCTCGCCGAAATCGCCCCAACGGCTGTTCGCGGTCTCTGCACTTGTGTATTCTCCGGTTTCGTCTATCTCGGCATCGTCTTGGCTTACTTTGCCAACTACGGCTGCTCTCTTCATATGGGCGACAACACTCACGCCCGCTGGCTCGTCCCTACCAGCCTTCACATCATGTTTGCAGGCTTGATCCTGATTCTTAGCTTTTTCGTCGACGAATCTCCTCGCTTCCTCATCAAGAAGGGTCAAACCGAGAAGGCTACTGCTGTTATGGCTCGCCTCCGACAACAAGATCCCGAGTCCGATTACATTACCCGCGAAATCGCCGCCATTCAGCTGGCCCACGAGCACGAGCTTGAAAGTGTCAACAGCTCATTCCTCGGTACCTGCAAGGAGCTCTTCCTCAACAGCAGCAACCTTTACCGCCTGTATCTCGCCAGCATGGTCCAGGTTCTTGCTCAATGGTCTGGTGCCGGTTCCATCACTCTCTATGCCCCCGACCTCTTCGCCCTTCTTGGTATCAAGGGTTCTGAGACTGGTCTGCTTGTTACAGCCCTCTTCGGCATTGTCAAGCTTATCTCAGCCATTACCTGCGCTCTCTTCCTTGTCGATGTTATCGGCCGAAAGCGTGCTCTTATCGGAGGCATTGCCCTGCAGGCTCTTGCTATGATCTACGTTGGCTCATTCCTCACTGCTGTCCCTGAGCCTCACAGCTCTTCCGCTGCTGCTCGTGGTGCTATGGCTATGATCTACATCTCTGGTATTGGTTGGGCTCTTGGTTGGAACACCATGTCCTACATTCTCACCGCCGAGTTGTTCCCCCTTCGTGTCAGAGCTTTCGGCACTTCATTCGCCATGACCCTGCATTTCCTCTGCCAATACGGTAGCAGCCGAGCCACTCCCAACATGCTTTTGCCATCATCCGAGGGTGGAATCAACCCCAACGGCACCTTCTGGACCTACGCTGCTATCCTCGTTGTGGGTGGTCTTTGGGTCGTTGTTTCAGTCCCTGAGACTGCTGGTCGTTCTCTTGAGAGCATGGACAGACTCTTTGACCTTCCTTGGTACAAGATCGGTTTGTTCGGCAACCGTGACGCTGAGCAGCAGGATGCCGTGTACGACGAGAAGGAGAGCGTTGCTATGAATACTCAGGGACAGGTTGTTTATGTTGAGAACAAGTCTAGAGAGGTTGTATAATTTACTGGCATGGAATTTGGAATCTTACGACTTTGATATGAAGGAAAGCGATTTGGTTTTTGCATGATAGTACATCTTATAATGCATACTGTTCAAAGTAAAAATCTTCAATCCTCATTTGAATTCATCTATAGACTATGACATTCACTTATTAATCTTCATGAAGTGGTCTTGAATCCCTAGTCGTGTTCCAAGAACTTGATGCACTGTGAATAGCGCCTTAGGCTCTAGCTTTGGATCCTTATCAGTCATTTTGGGTCTAGCACCAGCTTGTTATGGCTTATCGATATCCAGGAGGATTGGGTAATCATTTTCACTATTATTTGAATTTCGGCCTGATTGGATCTGAGTGAGACAAGCATGAAGCTATCCAGATGCTTACTCTGCAGTAGCTGCATTCGCTCTAGTGCCAAGCCTCAATCCCGCTTCCAGCGCCATACATCTTCATGTGAAGGGGCATGGGGATGCCAGGATTGTATGTCTTCCGGTTCAAATGTGGTGAACCCTGGATTAATGGTAACCTTACTGATCGAAATGTACCGATAATGGCCACCCCGGAGCTGTAGCGTCTCTATCGTCTTTTTCACTCTCTATCATACGGATGTTGGCCTAGCCGATCAGGCTAACCCTCGCTTATAAACCCTGCATCTATAGTCTTTTGGCGATTGAGACATGGGAAAAGTCTAGACCGGCACGTGGAGAGCTGAGTTAAAACCCCAAAACAGACAGCATAGGCCTAGAATGCCATGAACTAGCTATGCTGGCCAGCTCATCCGCAGAGTATAGGTTCGTGCATATTAGTTAATGAAAGTGGCTGCCGATATCACAGCGCTTTGACTCTCCAGGCTTCGCATACAACCGAAGAAAACGACGCTAATCAATCTATCGATTTCACCACAAAGCAATATTCCGTTCAACTTGGTTAATCTACAACAGATGGCTAAGCTGAATACTCCCGTCATGCTCGATTACAACCAGACTACTGGCTGTGGGAGCTTCACCGCCTGTCTCTGGCGACATTCGAGTCTCGTTACACCCGCGTGTGAATTGTCGCGATGAGCAAGCATGATTCTTCAGGATGAAGGATGGCAGGCTCCATTCAGGTATATAAAGAGAGACCCGAACCTCTTTCATGGGAAATATATCTATCTTGTACCACCGACAACTACCAAGTCATCTCTCACAGCCTTACTTTGACACAGCAAACCCTTTCAGGCATCAACATGCCTTCTTCCAATTACAGCGACTTCGCTTCTTGGATTGGTGTAAATATTTAACCTTCTGTTGATGGAAGCATGAAAAGAAATCTAACACGACGTGCTTCTGTACCAGGTCGAACATGAAGACAACCAGCCTGAGGGTACTATAACCGAGATCAATGGTGGCAGCGCCAACGTCGGCCAAGGTTTTGGAGGAAGGTAAACATTGTTCCCTACTTAATCAAGCTTCTCATAAAAATTACTGATTCTTTTATCAAGCAATATCTGGCTCAGGACAATCAAGGCGAATAAGCCAAGCATGATGATGGACAACATCTTCATATACATCGGACATGGCGACGGAGCCCGGACTGATGATCTAGCTAAGGGTGCTAAGGGTGAATACCGCTACCTTGACTGGAGCCGTAACATGACTGCCAACCGGTAAGACTAATCTTTTATATTCTTTGACCCGAATAAGTGATAGGCACTAATGGCAGTGGCGCTAGATTCATAACTGAATTTGCCCTTTGGCGCCAGACTATCCCTCAAGGTGCACCTCCTGCAGGTTGGGATGGAATGACTAGTGACATCAATGCGGGCCGAGGCGGCGACAACCTCTACCTCATCTGGAAGAGCGATGTTTATACTGGTTCCAAGTAAGCACCTACTCGATATCATGCTCAAGTATATGAGGAGTTATTTCTCTGTTCTAGAGTTCAAGACCCAAGAATACATCAAGTTATCTATAGGCAGATTATCCTTGCTATTCTAAATAAATCTTGTCCTCTATCACCTTGTTACAAAGAGTTCTGTACCCAGCCTCGTGAAAGTAGACTATCAGATAAGACTGATCTTTATCCCAAGATGTATCGGTCCAGATGTATCTAGAGCCTGTAGGAATAACACCGTTCTCGTCGCGGCCATCTTCCTCGATCTGCATAAGCCGTCGACGAGCTAGCAAGCTGGCTCTGGTCTCCCACCCGCCCATGGTAGATGTCATCTTTTCGAAGAGGTTCAGAGAATCCGATCGAATTGCCTTGTTCCTACACTTTTGCGATACAAAGTTGAGGACAGGAAGAACGTAGATGTCCAAGACAGTCTCGATTCGCGTTGATGGGCCAGAAGTACCCTCGACAGAATGCATCATGTCCATGATATCGGCGAACACGCTATCGTACTTATCGTAAGCTGTCTCCATAGGATCAAGGCAGCAGTTCAGGAGAATATAGACAACCTTTTGTCCGACGTGAAATATTTTCGTTGTGTTTTTAGCAACCGTGTTTGTTTCAACGTCCAGTCTTTCGACAATGACAATTTCCCACTGGCGAAGCTGTTTGAGGAGCATATCTCGGCGTGCCATCAAAGACGCTCTATGAAATGTATCGCAGTATGAACGATCCTGCAAGATCTTGACCACGAAGATCACAGCTCGAGTGATGAAACTATTCCACATAGCGGCAAATTGATTGAAGTCTGTTTTTGCTGAAGGGACCGTGCAAGGTATCGATTGGGTAGAAAAGCGCGACCAGCAGTCTCTCTGTAGAGGAAAGAAGCAAGAATTCAGACTAAAGAAGACTTGCAAACGGGGAAGAATCCTCTCAGCTTGATCCAACCCCTCATCGTTGGAGATTGCTGTATAAATAGGTTCTGGCTGCGGCTCGAACCCTTGATTGACTTCTTCTGCCAGTTGATCTTTTTGCTGTCGTAATAGTTCTACGCTGCTTGTGAGCATACGATCAGCTGTTGCGGTATTCCCGTGCATCAGTTCGAAGAGAAACAGGATGAACATGTTTATGAGAGTATTGCGCCTGGAAACAGTGGCGAAGTTGGACTTGATTCGGGCTTGTAGAGTGGAAATCGCTTTTGAGTGATAATGTAGAGCGATACGGTAAGTTGGGTCGCTGGATGCTCTAGAGAGATCTGAAAAAGGCTTGAGGCCAGTATATGGCTTTGGGCCAAGACGGTAAAGAGATTGCATGAGCGCGCCAACACTCAAGACAGAGAACTTTACACAGTCATCGTTCATAGCTTCACGTGGTATGACCTTGTTCCAGAAAAGAGTACAAGGTGTATATCCAAAGTCATGAGCCATTTGGTAACGGAAGAGATCGAAGTAGGGTACTTCATGGGGCTCTAGACTGGAAGATGTAGGCTGAATTAGATGGGGAGAAACCGAGAGGATTTCATGGCTCGCGGGCCCTTGCTTTGGTAAAAGGCGCTTTGCTTGTGTGGGAGGCTGGCTTGTAATTTGTCCCGCCTGAACGTATTCGCAGGATCGTCGAGACCTTTGACATCGACTGCATGTTGGTTTTGCCTCGTCACACCTCAAGTGCATTTGTTTACACTGATAATGTCAGCAAAGTACTCTCAGGTAAACCTTGCTAGAGCATCCCCTATCCAAACGCAATCGTAGGGGTAGCTTACTGAGACACAGCCATTGCGGCTCTTGGGCGCACCAGAGCGTTTAGGTTTGCCCGATTGGAGAGTGTTTATGAGTGCGTTGGCGGGAATCATGGTTCGGCCGACAACTGCGCCTCAGCCATGCACTTGCTTATGGATGAACAGGAGGCGGAGCTGAATGTAACATTGGATGTTTTCCTCAGTTCTGTGATTGAGAAAATGAGGGTGACAAGGTTGAGAAACGGCCAAGGTCAGCCCTACCAGGAGCCAGCAGTCAGAATCATGTTGATCTGTATGACAAAGCACTCCACTCCTCCAATGTATTCCAAACCTCTGTCATAGATGATTGGCTGATGAATACGATTACTCCATATAGTTTAGCTTCCCCAATCTTCTCCGCCATGAGCATGGATTCGACATTGCTCGAGCAGCCAATCACTTTGAGCAACTAGCGAATCGATGGCATTGAAGAAAACACAACTATTCTCAATTAGGTTCTGGTCTATGAAGAGGCTACAGAATTGCACCTTGTATAAAAATCACCAGCTCTGAAATGACGAGAGGTAGTATACCCTCCATATTTGTGCGGACGACTGACTCTGGAAGAGCTTGGATGGCTTTCGTATCTACCCCAAAATGAGACCAATCGTCCCTCTCTACAGTGAAGCCTCCAGCCCCAAGCACCCGTCAAGGATACTCCCCCCCAAAGGAAAGAAGGCCGTACGGCGTTGGGAACGTGCTGGAAAACCCAAGTCCCGATCGGGCTGCGGGACCTGTAAGATCCGAAGGGTCAAATGTGACGGTAAGCGCATTCAATACATGGCCCTTGAGCAGGTTTCTAATTCATCAATGTAACTACAGAGGCTAGACCAATATGTGTCCGATGTGCCAAGGGAAGATTCGATTGCGACGGTTACAACAGCGACACGAACGGGGAAGCGAGCGACTCAAATGGCTTATCAAGCGGCACTGAGAGTTCTGTTAGCGACGTGTCCGCGTCACCTAGAGCCCCTGAAACCTCTACAACAACTCTAAACCTGACCCCGAGTCCCGGATTAAATCCCTCGGAATCCTGTACATGGCATGGAACTACTTCTCCGTTATCTCTGCAAATATCGGCCTACCGCCCAGTCTATCTTGAGCACTTTAACCAAAATTCAAATCTCAGCAATGTGCTGTTCAGCTATAGTGAGCATTACTCCAGAATTGTCCTTCAAGAGACTCTTCAAGACGACTGTATACAAAACGCCGTGCTGGCCCTTGGGGCGTTTTTTCACAGTGGCTTCATCTTAAGGCAGAATGATTTACAGATGGAGATGGCCAATCACCACAGGCACCAATCTCTTCAGCTCTATAACATTGAACTGCACACTTTCCGAAAGAGCATACAGAACTTGATCGGTACCACGTCCCGATGGATAGTTCTCATGACCCCGCTGCTGGCCATGTATGAGCTGCTCCAGGGTGATTTCGACGCTGCAGGTCAACTCCTTCATAGCGCGGTTGAAGCACTCCGCTCTTCGGGAGATATATCCCACATTTCGACCAGTGAGAGCTCTGATATGTTTTCTTATACAAGTCTGCAAACTGTCGGAGACACACTACCTCTATTCACCATGACCAGGAAACAAAGCTGTCATGCAGACCGACTGGGGGGTTCTGTTGTATTACTCCACTCAGACCTGCTTGCCGCTGTCAGTGAACTAGCAAGCTTTGATAAGGGGTATCATGGGGATGTGCTTCATGACCTGCTGATTCTGGATAACGATTATGGTTGGATGGGTTGATGCCCAGAGGCATACCCCGAGATACCTGGAAGATCTGGATATTTATATTGCAGTAAAGCCTCAGCTTGTTGATGATTTTAGGCCACCAATAACAGAAAGAAGGGTGATGTGCGGTTAGAGAAGGAGACTGAAAGCTGTTCAACCAGCAGTTCAAATGATTTGGATAATGATAGAAAGAATTTTCAACACAATAGAGTACAGAAAAAGAAGGCAGGACTCGCTATATAGTAAAACCTCGTGTTCGATTCCGATGAATGAATCATTTCCTCAATCACGACAAAGCAGTTCCAAACTATTTGAGCGACGTAACCTCAAGCACTGCATTGACAAAAGCACTAGGTTTCTCCTGGGGAAGATTATGCCCTGCACCAGGAACTTGATGGTGTACACGAGGACCACTAAAGTACTTGGCTGAAGAAGACCCGTTCGTTGGCGGAAAGTTACCGTCTGCAAGACCATCCAGTGTCACAGTTGGGACTGAGATAACAGGCTGCTCAAGAAGCGCTTTCTCGATGCCGCTGTAATCTGGATCACCTGGTGCATACAACAGGCGATGTCTGTAGACATGAGTAACAACGCTGACATAATCCGGATTGACAAAAGTCTCAGTAGCACGATCGAGGTCTTCTTCGGTGTAGTTCCATTCAGGGGAATTCTTGTCCCAAACAACCCTGGCTATGTCTTTCGGGTGTTCTGCCAAAGCCGCTTGTCCACGAGGCGTTAAGAGGTAGTAGAAGTACCAAAAGCCGGCTTCAATGTTTGCATCAAGCGGAACCCAGGCTTTAGATAGGTCTTGGATCAAGTAACTATTGACCGACACCAGACCAGCGCATCGTTCAGACCACAGAGCTGCTGCAACACAAGCCCCACGCCCGCCCCAGTCGTAACCGGCAAAGATGGCCTTTTTGATGTTTAGAGTATCAAGCAATTCGATGATGTCGTAGCCTAGAGCTGCTTGCTGGCCGGAGCGGAAAGTATCTGTGTCCAGAAAGGTGGTAGGTCCGTTACCGCGTAAGTATGGGACAATGACACGGTATCCTTGTTTTACAAGAGCTGGGGCGACTTCTGTGTAACTGTGAATGTCGTAGGGCCAGCCGTGGAGAAGGAGGACGACCTGCGCATCTGGAGAACCATCTTCATAGTATGCAACTTGAAGTCTGGTAGTGTTTACAAACGACAGTGGCTTGAGTCGGGATAGGTGCCCGGTACGATGGCCTAGATGTTCGGAGTGCTCTTTGCCAGGTGTAAAGCCAGGAGGCTGTAAGCTGAGAGTCTGAGCTATGAAAGCAGCCAGAATGAAGAAGAGACAAATGATCATGGCGTCCTTAGTTGTGAAAGATCCTTGACCACATCCATGATGCACGGTGAGAATCGGCTTTTTGAAGTAAATGACGTTAATGATCGACCAATGATAAGGACGAACTCGTATAAGTGAACTTCGTAAAGCCAGTTTTACATTGTACCTACATCCTTTAATTGTCGAAAGTGGCCTGGAACAAGTCTTACGTGAGATATATCACGCATTCGCCACTGACTTTTAATTCCAAATCGTGCTTTAGTCGACTATTGTCTCTTCTTCCTCTAACGGCCTTTGTAAGCAAAAGCTAATAAGTGACTATAAATAGACCTTCATGCAGATGGGTGCGGAAACACCGAAAAGCATGATGGTGAGGCATAGTTCAAATAGGTGATTAATGATGAGAAGAAACCTGATCTAGTTAGTGGTTCCTTCTGAAGCTTAATAGCTACTCATTCGACAATCATGTAATATTCTACAACGTATCTGAATGATCCTTTTTGTTAAGGCTTAGAGTGACTAAAGATTAGAAAAAAAAAGCTTTGAGATAATAAACACTTCTATGAAACGTCTCTCTGTTCGGACTGCCGACTTTGCCCGATTATCCCGACCCAACCATAATAGCTCTGGCCTCCCGTTATGTCCACGAGTGTCAAGAATTGCTTTATGCATAGTCACCTGATCCAGACCCAAGTCTGCTACTACCATGCCTTCTTCCGTTGCTTGCAGCTCGCTTGTCAATTGTCGCCCGTCTGGTGCAAATATCCTCGCGTTTCCTCCACCAGGGACGTTAAAAATTGGTGCCTGTTTGTGCCCATCATGTCAATGGACGGCTGCGAGATTACGGTTGTAGAGTGTAGTGTATAGCACTGGGCTTGGATAGAGTAAACCTGAGAGATGGCTGCTACCGCTATACATAGATTAGATGGGTGTCGGAGGACGGAATTGATCTCACCTTCGTCGGACATGGAGTATGGTTCGGGTCCGCCTGAGTGAGCTGGCACACAGGGCCATGTTGCACAATGGATCTGCTCTCCTTGGGAGAAAGTATTGAAGTTGATCAGGGGATTGAAATGTCCCTAGAAGGGGTCAGTTTGTACAAACCTTAGATACTGGGCGTAAACATACTCCACAGGATAATTGCCTAACTCTCCCAACAGAAGTAAGAGCAACATTGTCAAATGAGGGGCCATGCCCATCACCAAAGATAATTTTCTCGATATGGAATGGTTTGATTTTGCGTCTTGTCATTAAAACTTCACCATCGCTGTTAATTATGCATTGAGCAATTTAGAGAAAATCTCCGCTTCGCTCAGAGAACCCAAGACAAACAACGACATTGTTGTCTAGTGCACAAGACCTGATGTCTTGCATTTCACTTGAATCAATTTTCAATGAGTTCTTGGTGTATTTCACGACCATGTCAAGATCCATTGGACGGGCCCTGAATAAGAGTCAGTTTAGTCATTTTTGCATGGAACACGATGCCTACCAGATCCATGTAGGATAACCTGGTAACCAAAGCTCAGGGAAGGCAATAATTTTCGCTCCCTTCGAAGCGGCATCTTTGATTGGATCGCATGTTTTTCTAACAGTACCAGGCAAGTCAAACCAGACTGGTTCAGCTTGAACAACAGCTGCTTTGATAAGACTTGTCGTGACAGACATGATAAGAATACTTGTTGAATCAGATGTGGGCTGCTAGCAACTGAGTGGTACCGTTGAGATTATTTCTACGTGCTTTAAGCACCATTATAGAGATGATCCTGATATTTGCCATAGCTACCCGCATTTCGGACTTGATAAGTCACAACGTTTGTCCACGAATATGAATACGAGCAAGTCTTTTTGATTGGTTCATTTTTCTTGCGCCACGGAAAAGCGCAAGACTCTGCATTGAGCCATCTGACGTGAGATTCGGGGACCAAAATATGGCTAACCATCTTCGTTCTACGGGTTGCGTCTTAAAACACTGGTTGCCCCGTTGAAGAACTGCGCTCAGGTTTAATGTTAGCCATTGAGGATGTTTTGCTCGTATACGCGCCAAGGGCCATCATAGAGCATGAGGAATTAACAATTTATTTGCCGAATGCTATGCTGTACCTTGGCCCGAATTTGTTTCATTGTATCGGAAGCAAGGAAAGATAAAAGAAATGTAAGTAACGAGTATTTTGCTAGAACTGCCGGCGGCGCTCGTTTGTCGGTTTGAAATGTGACAAGCCTTGGATCTATAAATCTAGTGCATACGCAAACATTAAATTAGTATTGAAACCGAGAGACTTGGATACCTAATTCCATATGCACCTTTTCATCTTTTTCAGCCTTGTTGGCCTTGGTGCCTCACTCGACCAGCTGCAGCCAAGCCAGTTGGATCGTGCAGCCCCATGACTCCCCCGATCGTACCATGTGCCATAATCAAATCCCTCGAAAGTCGAATCTATCGCGGCCACTCCGTTCCTGCACTTCCCCCAACGTTACTTCAAAATGTCACGCATCTAAAGATCTGTGAAGTAAATGTCACCCTATCTCATTGGAATGAAGACGATACCGTTCTCGTACAGACGTGGCTACCTCTTAACAATTGGAACTCCCGTTATATCCCTGTTGGAGGCGGTACTTGGGCAGGTGGACCCGGTCAATTTGAGCTTGCTCTCCCTGCATCTCAAGGCTACGCTGTCTCTTCCACCAATGCTGGTCTCAGTGGGAATCCAGTCGATCCCTCAGATTGGGCCTTGAAGCCTGATGGCACTGTCAATTATGGTCTTCTAAAGAACTTTGCTTCGCGATCTGTTCACGACATGGCAGTCGTTGGCAAGGCAGTTACAGCGTTTTTCTACGAGGGTTAGGGTTACCTAACCCTAACCCTAATCTATCCCTTGCGCGTGCTGACATCAAGGCTGTAAGTAAGTGGCACTTTAGTTTAAGAAACCAACAGTGATTCAATCTGAATATCTTTAGTATATCGTACATCTGAAAACCAGTGACAAAGAGAGGCGACCGCGATAGGTAGCATATTTGAGGTGTGCTATCAATCACCGAACTAAGTCATAATCATGCCTCCCATCTTCTCGGATAATCCCTCCACGCCAACCTTGAGAAAGTGCTCATCAGTATCAATCTGTTCACGTACAGGACCAGTCTTCAGTTCATCAACGTCCCAATTAGCCCAGACGAAGCGGCCATGAAGAAAGTTAGCTTCAGGCGTTGCTGCCCAGACAGAGAAATGACCTGGAAGGTTTTCTATTGGACCGTTGTTAGTTGAAGGGCTGCATCAGGGGTCGTGGAAATATTTACCATCGTCAAAGACAAGGCCCTTCAGGCTATCGCCACCAACCCTCTTGGCAGAGTCGGTCAAAATGCCACCTGGATGGAAACTAATAATCTGCATATCAGTGTGCTTGGTATCCTGTGCGATCTGCTGCAGGAGGAGAGTGCTCGCATTTTTGGTCAGCCCGTACGTCGGGCGGTCAGGACCCATTGTTGACCACATGTAAGCCGCACAGGTTGAGATGTTGACCAGAAACTGCCTATTGTGAGCATGGGAGAGCTTGGAATAAAGATGAAGCTATCCTACCTTGGTTTGGCCTGGGTCTGCTGCCTTTTGTTTGTAAAATCGCTCTGTCATATCTAGAGTGCTTCGTACATTGGACTCAAAGTCACCCCAGACCTTGGACATACCTCCATCAAGAATTGTCTCGGTAGAGCCATAGCTTGCAGCGCTCAAGACTAGGACGTCGACAAAAGTGCCTTCCAGAGATGTTCGGTAGATTTCAAGTCAGAAATATCACAAGTGCGGCCTTGTACATCCGTACCACTGCCAAATTGATAGCCCTCTTCTTGAAGTTTGGCAGCTGCAGATGCGACTACATCTTTTCGACGTCCAAGGATAATGACACGGGCAGCATTCGCCTTGACAAAGCTGCGAGCGATAGCATACCCGATGCCACTATTGCCTCCAGTGACAATGACTGTCCTACCTGTCTGCTGAAGGGCAGGGAGAGTGGGGTCAATGGCCTGATAAGGCTTTTTGTGGTATTTGTTCAAAGTGGGAAGACTCATGATGAATAGGATGCTGGGACATATAACTCTAATCAGGAAGGGGCAGGATGAGTTGAGCTGCTCGAATGAATAACATCTAGTTGAATCGAATACAAGCCCAAGCTTGATATTTATAATACTGCGACATGTTCACACGGGGCAGGCGGTGTGATGGAAGGCGATAGAGGAGTTAGTAATGCCAATTGATTGCAAAGCATACCCGCTTGCCTGCACTCTTTGGAAAGGTGAGCCACAATCTACTTACAGAAACTGCGTAGATCGTTCGGTGGCTGACTGACAGCCTCTGAAAGCAATTGGTTTCTCAACGTTGTTGATAAGGTTGAGCCAATGGGGATGTGTTGCTCGTATTTTCAAGCCATTTCTCCGATGCGGAATTGCCCCCGCCTCTCGCGGAGTTTTGTTGACAGATTTGTCCGGCCAATCCAACAATGAAGCTCGTATTTTAGACAACGAAGTAATACAGACTCGATATGATGTTGTCAGCATTGGCGAAGCAGCTATTACTTGTGATATAGTTACATGGCCTTTTCAGCTTTGAGAGCATTGGCCATATCACTAGCAGCTAAGTATGTTACCAAGGCTTTTCCGTTGGTCTCTTGCAGACCTGTTGTCAACACTATCAGGCATTGCATGGTAGTAGTAGTAAGATTGAATGAGCTCAAATTAAAGAATGTGTTATGAGTGACGGTGTTAAGTAGCCGACCTGAATCAAATCTAACTCAGCCATGACCAGCTCGAAACCTGTGAAGTAAATGGCGATTATCCTCTAGGTCATCGTGCACTTTCCTCAAAGGCCATCTGAGGTATATGTAACTAGTTACACGAGATTTCATAAGCCCAAGGCGTCAAATCTACAGAATTGCAGGACCCATCTGCGCTGAGAACTATTTCAGTTTCAAACTGTGCGCATTCAACGCTGGAAACCTTGATGACTGGGACTTTTCCATCATTGCAAAGCTTCATAAGACTAACTTTGATGTTGGTCGCTGGGAATTGCTCGACGTTGACACATGAGGTTCCATCGGCACCTCCATAGACGTTGGCAGTGATGAAAGGTCGCCCATTGCAATCTCCACTTGGCCATTCTTCAACCAAGACCTGCTGGGCAAAAACACCAGCAAGGGGCAGTGAGAGGGTAACTGGAAGTGCTATCTTTTTCTTGAACTTAGATGGCATCCCCGACAGAGTTATGGGCGGCTTACCTTCATTTCTAGTCTTCTCGTTGGATACCAAACGCGGTGTTAAGTTGAGCAAGTCGAAGCTCGATGAGGTTTTCTTGAGTGACTGTGCTTTATATATCTCAACATCCAACGTCTATGGCAGAGTTGAAGCCCGCTGATGTGATATTCTGTTCAGAATTATCTCCCGTCACAGGACTTGTTATCGAAATTTGTGCCTGAATGAGGATGTTCGGAGTACTACTTTCCGATACATGTTTCCGAATCAGGAAAACCGCTGGACCACGCATGCATGCAACTGAACTCAACCCGAAATGCCCCCCACATCATACTTCACACCTCGTACCACTCTTACATGGAAGTTTGTGAACAATAGGATACGGAATGACATGACCACCAATGTTGCTAACTGAAATATCATGTGACTGCAGGCCTTCTTTCAGGGTGAAAGCTTATCGTTGGTGACTGCAAGACATAATCCATCATGAGAAGCGAGATATGAAAATCAATTCAGAGAGTGGCTAAATTCAGAGAGAAAAGCAAAGGAACAAGACTGACTCAAAAGTCTGAGATAATGCAAGCGGCCTAAGTGGGTTAAGGAGGCTGAGCATTGATAGTGGCACTTAAGTGTATAGCATCACGCTGCCCTCCACCACCATTATGTCCACGATGACACCTAATCCTTGTTCAAGATCTTATCCAACCACGCGAAAATCACTCGACCAAATTCCTGGGGAGCTCCAGTCTGACAATGATATCCAGCAGTACCATTAAACATGTGAAGTTCAGCGCGATCTCCCAAAGCTTCGGCAACAGGCTTAGACTGTCCGGATTGGAGTGTTTCGAATTCTCCGTCGGCGATCCAAACTGGCATCTGGATACGGTCCGTGATACCGCCACGTAGATTATAGCTCTTGGCCAACTGGAAGAATTCGTAAGGAGACTTCGTTTTGAAGCACCAGAGACCCTGAAGGATGCCCCATTTGGTGGTGGTGGGGGTATCTGGATCGTCGTGGATCTTGCTCATCGCCTCGTCGAATACCTCTTTGTCACCTGACTCGAGAAGTTTGCGGAGCTCTGGGGTTAGATGAGCGGCGTATCCAGTGTATGCGTCCCAAATACCACCGTTCAGCATGAGAGCTGTCAGTCGAGGTTCATATGCAGCGGCACGAGCAGCGAGATAGCCCCCAAAAGAGTGACCATACAGCACCAATTTCTTGGGATCAACGAAGGAAGCCTTTTGGGAAAGCAGATAGTCGACAACAGGTGTAACAACTCTTTCCCAATCCGGAATGAAGCCAACACCTTGCTCTCGGCGGACAGTTGGCTGGCCTGGACCTTCGAAAGAGAAGATGTTGTATCCGCGAGCTAGTGCCGGAGCAACAACAGTTGCGTACAAATCCTCCTGGGCAGCATCAAAGCCCTGAGTGAGCAAGAGTGTCGGGAGTCGCTTGGTCTGGTTGTTTTGGTAAGGTTGAGAATACCAAATGCCAGAGACGTTGAAGTCGCCAGCGGGGATCTCAACTCGTTCCGCTGGGACGGGCAAAGCCGCAATAGCTTTATCAAAGGCAGCACGCTGCTCATCCCAATACCCATTGATGCGAGGATCATCCCAGTCAGCGCGATTATAAGCATCAGCACGGCGGAAATAGTTCGACACAGAGAACCAAGTCGCCCTGACATTGATAGGATCGTAGGCAATCCTGGGGTCAAGAGCTTGGGTCTTGGTGTTGTTTGCAAGTTCGAACCATTCTCTGATGTAGCTTTCAAAATCGCCTGGGATAATCCTTTTGGCGACGCTCAGAACGGGATTGACATCTGCGCCGTCGTTGGCCATTTGACCAAGACCGGTGAGGATGTCGAAGTTGAAGCTGTCATCGTCGCTGAGGAAAAGAATGGGGTTCTCTTTGTCTTTGGCACTTGCATTTCCTGCGTTAAGAACCGCGAAGAGAGTGTAGAGAGTAGAAAATAGTTTCATAATTTAATGATTATAGCTTTGTTTATCAAGAAGCTGATGACTGATGATTGCTGTGATGAACTTCTAATTCTCGTGGACAGTCCTTGGCCTTTTATATCTGCGAATAACCAGCTTATCGCTAGCTTCCGATCTAGCAATTAAATTCATATTTTCGCAACTCTAGGTTTCATTTCTGAGCTCATGACGAGTAAAGTCTCGATAGAGGAACATGAAGCGATGAAAGGTGACGGAAATAAACTTGATTCCGTCAGCAGCCTCCACTTCATGCCGCTCTCGCAAAGTCTAGCCCTATCAAGCAACGATCGCCAGACAAGCCGCCAGGACGACGTATGAGGCTCTCGCGTATTGCTCATGTCAGCATTCCACTAAATACGACAAAATTAAGCATAAGAACCATGTCCTCCCTGTGATCATCATCGCCTCCTGCAAGCACCGCAAAACTCTACTCCATTCAGTTGTCTCAGTACCCCAACACGTCATGGTCAATCGAGGGGCCTCGCAAGGCTGCGTCACGTGCAGACAACGCCGCGTCAAGTGCGATGAGAGAAAGCCTTGGTGCAAGGCGTGTCTTCGTCTTGGCATTGAGTGCACGGGCTATGCGAAGCGCGGGCTGAGGTTCAAGGATGAGACTGTTCGATATCGAGCTAATTCAGCGGCTGTAACGCGCGTCACCAAACATACGAAACAATCGTCGCTTGAGAGGACTATCATCCGAGTACCATCACATCACCCGCAAGATCTTGCTGTACCATTTTTTCTTACATATGTTACCGATGTCGGTCGAAGTCTGGAATCGACAAGAGGTTTCCTGGAGTTTGTCCGTCCTGCTCTAGCGTCTGAGCGACATGATTCAGCTTTGAGCACGGCAGTGACAGCTACGTCAATCAAAATCTGGTCCATGATCGGCAAGCTGCCCCCTTCGAGTCCCCTTCCTTACCAGCTCCTGGTGAAAGCCTTGAAGCGGCTTCACCAAGCGACTGAAGAACCTAGCGAACGCGGATGTGATGCGACTGTACTGGCGGCCCTTGTCCTCCAGATGCACGACACCTTATCAGCCGTATCTGGACAAGCCAGAGCTCATGGCGCGCATCGCGAGGGAGCTTTCACTTTGTTGATGCAGCGAGAAGACTGTTTTAAGAACTCCAAGTACTACGCTCACCTTGTTGGCAACCTTCTCCACTCTAGGGTATCAGTTTCTGTGAGGAACAGAACACGGCTGCCGACCAAGGACCTTGATTGGATTAAGACTGAGGTTGCTCCGATTTTGCCGGTCAATCCGAGTTCATCTCTTGATATGATTGGAGTATGTATTGCAGATCTCCAACACACGTTCCGCGACATGTTACGCCCAACCAACCTCTCTTCTCTTGAGACTAAGCTACGGCAACAAATTTGTGATTTGGATACCCAGCTACGGACCTGGTTAAAACAGATGCCAGCGAGTTGGTATCCACGACGGATGAAAAGCGGCATCGATCTCGACGAATCAGTTCCTTCATATCGTGGCGCTTGCGACATATACCCAAGCATACAAGTCGCGAATATCTGGAATGCATGGCGTATCTATTGTCTCATTCTAGAGGACATCAAGGACCAACTCTCTAAGTCTTCAGTACCATCTGCGGCTCAGCATTTCCATAATAGCAATAGAATTCCGGAGTATGCCATGTTCTGGACTTCCAATCAACTCAGAATCCAAGAGCTTGTTGATGCTGTATGTCTCAGCATCCCATTCTACCTAGGCAACTGCAACTTCTCCACTGATATACTCTCAACGGGAAGCTCTGATGTCATATACCCAAGTTATCATGATTTACCTGTCGATGATGAAGGATATCTGCGATTCAAAGCAAGCGATCAGTACGTGTCCAAACTTGATCACTCGCGACACGTCACGCTTCACGGCCAGGTCCATATTATAAGCGTCTTATCCTATGTCGTCCATATATGCATGAGTAGTAATTGGCTCCGGCCGAGCTTTCTGAGGGAAGAGCAAAAGAACTGGATAGCAAGTCAGTTTATTCGATCCATCTACTCGATGAGGCCCATATTTGGGGGCGTATCGGAAAGGAGAGCTTATCAAGGGAACGTCGACCTTGACCATAGCTTGCAAGCAGTGGATGCAATATCAATAGCCAAAACCTTCGCAATTAAGGTACAAAAAGAGCTGTGGACTATCAGCATTTTGTAATAGACAAAATTCACCCCAAAATAAGATCTTATTCTTCCATTAAAGGCGTCATGATTACGCAGGTTGATGCAAGACGGTACCGTCGAATTCACTAATAATGGCTGACCACTGACCAGAGTATAAGAGACTAGACCGCAGACTATCTCAGCTGATGTTGTGATTGCGTGCATTGGCTATGAGCAGACATTCCCATTTATGAACATGCATGACGAAAATAACCCATCTTATATGTGAGAGGTGTCTGGAAACAAGGTAAACCGAATATGGATTCATTGGCTTCGTCAGACATTCGCTGGGCGCTAGACCTCCTTTGGCAGAGATGCAAGCCCGATTATGGGGATCAAAAATCCTGGCGCTACATAAATTCAATCAGCTTCGGTCCGAGGATGAGGCTCAGTACAGGCTACATTGCAGGCCCATTGCTAAGGTAACATCTGGCGTTGATGACGAAAGTTATGCATATCAGCTAGCCCTTGACATGAAAGTCTGCATATGGCCTTACTGGCGCATCAGACATGATACGTAGGGATTCAATTCGAAATTCCTACCTTCATTTGGTTATTTGGGCTTCCGGCGCGCATTTCGATTGCAGGCTTCGGCTCGCCGGGCCATAGGCTTAGCAACATGGCCAAGAGCGTAACTATTGTCTTGTGAGTTCTGGCAGATCATCGTATGCAGGCCAATGGTATTTGATAGGTAGTTACGTCCCGATACTGATACGTCACTCATTATCAAGGTCGTGTGCTCATCTCAATCGTGCCTATGACCATTTCTGGCCCGTCAGCCTCATATTCTGATTTTCCGTTCCCATATACCATTAGCCAGTACGTTTTCTTGATCAAATGCAATCATTTCACTCAAGACCCAACAAGGTCCTCAAATAATCACTCATTAAAATTTTCAACCGTTATTCCCGTTAGCATGCGCCTGGTCTGACAATCCGTGCCGAGATCCGATTTGACAACCCAATACGGACTCTAAGATAACTAAGCCATTCTTAGCTCATAACCATCAAGGTTCACGAGTATTTAAATCACGACAGCCCTTTGTACAAATTGCTCTATTCCTCCGAGAAACACGGCAAAACGGCAAGTCACCGGCAATATCGGCTGTCTACGATAGACCTTTTGTGTGAGAGGTTGCGTATATGAAAAGTCTAATTGTGAGACACGATGAGCTATATATACTTCGACCCCCTCGGCTCTAATGCAGTATTTCGCATTCCGGTCATTCACTGATTAAGCTTCCTTGCATCGCTTATCTTTATTTCTCATACTTTGTTGGTGAGCAATGTCAGGACCTACGAACTTTGACCCAGAGAGGGTCAACCTCACTGAGTTCCAGTCCATCACTGATCAAGGTCTCATCACCTGCTTCCTGACGACTGCTGGAAACCAATACGATGGTCCTCTTGGTATCAGAATTGGCTCACTATTTGTTATTCTCGTCGTCTCGACCGCAGTCACTTTCTTCCCTGTCGTGGCCACTCGAATTCCACGTCTCAAGATTCCACTCTATGTATACCTCTTTGCCCGATACTTTGGTTCCGGTGTCATCATCGCCACTGCGTTCGTCCACCTGCTCGATCCTGCTTATTCAGAGATCGGACCAGCATCTTGTGTTGGTATGACTGGCGGTTGGTCTACCTACTCTTGGCCACCTGCTATTGCTCTCTCAGCAGCGATGTTCACTTTCCTGTTCGACTTTCTTGCCGATTATTATGTTCAGTCTCGCTATGGGCTTCAGCATAATGATTCTGGAGTTGAGGATACTATTACTACTGGCGGAGATGGACATCAGCAACACTCCGATGATGGTTCGAACTCGAGAAGACTTGTGATCAATGGTCAACACGATACAGAGGCGGCTACGTCGGAGAAGCAGCGTGGTGGTTATGCAGACTTTAAGGAACTTCAACACCTTGATGGAGATTCTGAAGAGACGGAACTTGCATTCAAGACACAAATCGCAGCCTTCCTCATCCTCGAATTCGGTGTCTTGTTTCATAGTGTATTCATCGGTCTGAACTTGGGTGTCGCAGATACATCCGACTTCGACACCTTGTTCCCCGTTCTTGTATTCCATCAGTCCTTCGAAGGCCTCGGTATTGGAGCTAGACTTAGTGCCATTCCCTTTTCCAACCGACTTCGCAGCATGCCATGGCTTCTCTGTCTTGCTTACGGTTTAACAACTCCTATTGCCATTGCAATTGGTCTCGGTATCCGAAAGACGTACGACAACTCATCATACACTGCAAACATGGTCAATGGTATTTTTGACTCTATTTCTGCTGGCATTCTTATTTATACTGGATTTGTGGAGATGATTGCTAGAGACTTTCTCTTTAATCGTGAGAGGACGAATGACAAGGTCAGGCTGGGATTCATGATCGTTTGCCTCTTCCTGGGCGCTGGAATCATGGCTCTGGTTGGAAAGTGGGCTTAGTATCTGACAATCACTCTATACTCGATAGAAGCAGAATTTAGAATAATGGTCATTTGTATTCTCTAGAATCTCTATTTAATCCACCTCGATAAGTACTTTCAGAGCGTTATGCTTCGATGCTTCGCCAAATGTCTTGTAAGCATTTTCTACATCGCTCAGCTTGAAATCTAAACGGGAACCGTTAGTAAAATGCACGAGACTCCGGCTATAGGAACTTACTATGGGTGATCAACTGCGAGGGTTGCAGCTTGCCAGATTGCACTAGCTTGAGCAACATGGGGGTAGTAACAGTATCCACCAGCTGCGTAGTGATCGCTGATACACCTGCATTAGTGCCATGTCAAACGGTAGATCATAGAGCCAAGCCACTTACAGATGTTCTTGATCCATAGGTCCTGAAGATGGAGGTCCACTTTGGTGCCGTGCACACCAACGTTTGCCAACACGCCGCCAACTGCGATGAGCTTTTGACAGAGCTCAAAAGTAGCAGGAATACCAACAGCCTCAATGACGGTGTCGCAACCTTTCCCATCTGTCAACTTCATCACTTGGGCAACCGCGTCTGGGTCGCTGACAACTGACTCAGTTGCGCCGAGCTTCTTGGCAACATCAAGTCTTGCGTTGTCCATATCAACGGCAATGATCCTGGACGGTGAGTATAGCTGGGCAGTGATAATAGCAGCCAAGCCAACGGGTCCAGCGCCAACAACAACTACAGTCCCTCCAGGTTGGACTCTGCCACTGAGAACGCCAACTTCAAGACCGGTTGGGAAGATGTCGCTGACCATCACCAACGCCGCCTCATCTGCCCCATCAGGAATAGGGTGGAGACTCGAGTCGGCATGGGGAATGCGGACATATTCAGCTTGAGTTCCATCGATTGTGTTGCCGAGAATCCATCCACCAGAGGTACAATGACTATACATTCCTCTTCGACAATATTCACAGGTCGCGCAGCTTGAAATGCAAGAGATGAGAACTCTATCGCCCTCTTTGAAGCGTGCAACAGATGGGCCTGCGGAATGGACGATGCCAACGCCTTCATGGCCTAGAACTCTTCCTGGCTCACAGGTAGCGACATCGCCTTTTCGGATGTGCAGATCGGTTCCGCAGATAGTAGTCTTGGTGACTTTGATGATTGCATCTGTTGGTGAAGCAATCTTGGGGACAGGACGGTCCTGCAGGGTGACAGAGCCATTGCCGGCGTAGACGAGAGCCTTCATTGTGATTTTTCAGTATAGAGATGGAACAATGGTGTTTCTAGAGGTCAATTGATGGTTTTAGAAGAAACATGAGATGACTCTGGCATCACCTGTTATATAGCTTTCATCTGATCGGCAGTGGTCTGACCTCGCGGATCAGGCAATTCATCAGGCCGTTGTGAACGTGCGGGGTAGCGGCCGCAAAAGTCCGGGGTAAACGGGCGCGGAACCGCATAACGCATGAACATGTTTCAGTTTCACCAATGGCAATCAATCGCTCAAGATTCAATGCCTCGTGGAAGTAACCGTAGCAATGCATTTCAGCCCAAGGGGAAGGGTCTTGTAAGCTAGCAGGCTCTAACCAGTCGGATGACTCCAGGCGGAAAGTTCCAGTCGGTGAGCCACGTGTTGTATCGAATCACATCTTGGTGATTCTCATGAGACATGTTTGGGAGCTGATATTGCATACCGGATGCAAGCCGCGTTTCAGGGATTGTATACGAGCATGTCGGCAGATGGGAATGTCACCAACTTGAGCAGGGTCTATCCATAAGTATCTGCCTCAACAAAATGTTGAGAACCCCGGGTTACAGATGATCCTTTTCTCCAATTCCGAAACTCCTCAACAAGAAGGTCTCGTTGTTCTCAAGCGCCAAAACGAATTCCTCTGTCCATTTCATTTCAATTTGTAGTATTTTTCAAGTAGTCCTCACACCGCCGTTTTGGTTATCCCCAGGGTTTCAGCTCAAGTCTAAACCCAATACTTTCGTAGTAGTAGATATTGTGATTGAGACTTCCAATCTTCAAGGAGAAATGCACATGTTCCAATGACCTATAGCCACTAGATCAATCTAAAAGTTACAGGTTCGCCCTTGAATATCTCATCAACCCACTCTCTTGCCCCCTCCTTACCAGCATCCTCCCATATTCCACCTGAGGTGTCAGACGCACTGCTATCCGGACTAGATGCCCAACCACCACTACCCCATGAGCGACGCCACTTCGAGATGCTATGCCCGTGGACATATCCGACTCTCCGAAATTGCTGACCTGTTGGATCGTTTCGATCGGCGTTGAGTAATAGGCCAAATGGTCCCCCATCATCTGCCTCGAATAAAAGGAAATATGGAGATATTTTGTTAGATTTAGCTTGAAGCCCCTCGGAATCCCATTCCACTCTTAGATCGTCATCGGGGCCCAGAGATACAGTGCCACTGTAAGGATCCTCCACTTTCACATTAACGAGATGGCCACGGATAACGAGGACCGGCCTTTTCGCTTCGCTGGTTATGATATCCAGGATCTGCAAATCCGAATCACTGGGTAACACCATGTCTGAGTAGTAGATTGGTCCAGTGACAAATCCCCACGACCATGTTGGAGCACCCCCATCCTTGATTCTTTGAGCATTACCATCGCCTGCATTTCGATGCCACAAAAGGTCGGCCTTTATTGTTTTTCGCCAAAGGCCAGCAATGTATTCGTCATTACCTCTGAGTCTTTGGGTAGCGTTAGCTAAGCCCTGAATGGCGGGGAGTCTATCAGTCGCGAAGGTGAGATCTAGCTCCGTATATGCGGGGACGATTTCAGATCTCCAGTTGGCCTCAGCCAAAGAAACATCAGGATTCTGAGGATGTAGAAAGTGCTTCATCACGCTTGTGGTGCGAAGAGTCCTCAGAGAAGTCGCTGAGCATTCGCACTCACACACAGATCTGCATTCCCAAGCCATCTCGTTCTGTGAAAAGTGGAGGGTTCGTGGTGACAGTAGCCGTTCCTGAAACACCCAACCCCGCGTTGATAACTTGCTTTGACCTAAACCACTTCTTCTACTACTCCATGTATGATACGGAAGTTGCTGGGCTAAGAATCCACGCTCACGGATATGTACGACGCCCGTGCTGGGCTGGTCATTTATGCCTGGCACCTTGAACCTCTCGGGAGCCTTTCGTGTTGGCGGCGACAAAAAGCCGGATGTGCTGTCCGGTGCAGCATCGGCAAATATTGTCACATGCGCGTTGGCATATACTTGAGCCATTCGCGAGGCTTCATGCTTCCAGTCGTCTGGAGAATCCTGGATAATACACAAGGAGTCAATCCATATGTAGGGAATCTCCAGCGCTCGAGCCACTTTCAGAGCATCTTCAAAGGTTCGTGGGAGATTCTCAGGAAGCGAAATAGTGTATGCTTCTAGATTGGCAAAAGTGGTCATTGTTGGCGTTTTCCCTCCCCAGCAGTGGCTCAGAGCTGCATAATGCGCTTGCTGGTTGGGCTCAGTGACCACAAGCTTGGGAGATACTGTGTCGTTTCCAACTAATATGACTCTTGTTGGTAGCGTTGAGATGCCGGTCTCGGTACAGTTCGCATGTTTTCCTTGGGCGTGGCCACATGCGTCGAGCCACTCGCGCGCTAAAGACACACAACTTGGAGCTAACCCGTATTCTGGTATATGATATCCCCGACCAATCAAGTCCCAAGGTAGAGAGACATCATCTGTACCCAGTCAGATATCAAATCATTCGGGCAGAGGCTTGTTTAACCTACTGTCAGTTGTGTATAACTGAAACGTCTTTTCTCTGACATCATGTGCAACGGGATCAGGGTAAAGGTGGACAACCATGGGCCCTGGGTGCTTTGGTGGTTTGCTTTCAACGAGCATTGATTCATAAAGCACCTCTGGCATAGTTGTTTCTTCTTTCACAGCGGTGCTAATCGCTTCCCATAAGAGAGCACAAGCGGAGCATGGAGTAGCTTTTGCTGATTTCTTGAGCTCGCTCATAGGTATAGTCAAGCCTCGGACTGCTGTATCATATTCCAGGACCAGTGAATAACACACTGGACATGTAGGTTCTGCTGACGGGCCTGGCGTGATGTCCATCGGTATTATTAACCCGGATGATATTATACGAATTTGGGGTGACTGATGTGTAGGCTATCGTGAAGTATGTTGCAGGCGAGCTAGGGAATTTCATGTGCAACAGATATCGAATCTGGCTCAGGCGACCTTTGCTATTAATATATGGCCTCTATCGATAGCCATCAAAGATCCCGTCAAGGTCAGCAGCGTTTGAGGCGCGGGGTAGTCAGCCAACTCATGGTTTAGGAAGGCGGTCGAGAATGGCAGCAGGACCCAGCAAGATTCTTAAAATCCTTTGAAATACTGGAGCAATAACGTCCAGAAATAATATGAGGGAAAGGAGCTCTACTATAAGTAATTTAGTCAGAATCACAAGAATGATATCGACATCATTCATCGTTCCTCACTGTGAGCCGCATAGCTTAGCCTAAATAATATATCGTGCGCATTTCTCTAAGACAATCAACCAATAAAAGACAAGTTTCGACTATCCATTTACTCTTTCCACTGCACCTGAAAGTCGCTGAATTCAACTTTCAAAGGACCCTTCGCAGTCTTGTCCGGTCTGGCTGCCAAGGCGCTTACATCCAAGACCCAATCATCCTGCTCCTCGCAAAGAATCCAGCAAATTTCCCTCAGTGGCAATTTTTCCTTAATACTTCCATCATCATTCAGAATGAGCTGGTGAACCCAAATATTACCACCTTCCTTGACTACTTGGAGTGTAATACGCTGGCCTTCTGTGGCTGTCACAGGGTACAGACTCATATCGGCGAACCTGTCACACGCGACAGTGCTCAAGTGAGGCTTTCCGGCGTAAAGCTCAATACCCGACTTAATCCACTTGCTGTGAGGAGCAGCTGGTTCAGATGCTTTACGTGGCACGAGGACGATGCCAGACTGGTCGTAGAGGTTCTCCCACTTAGCAGAGAAAGTGACACGAGCAGAAACAAAGGACTTGAGTGGGCCCGATATTGTATGGACATCAGGAACTGCCAGAGTGAGTAAGTTTCAGTGAGAGTGACATAATCGGGCGTGACTTACTGTTCCACGCGTTGTGCCCAGGCTTTCGCCAGATGTCTGTTCCTGGTCCAGCCTCAACAATGAATGGCTGGGTGAGCTGTTTCTGATTGGAAGACATTTGTGCGTAAGAATACTGGAGTACAAAGGCTCTTTTTTGTCGCTTGGTATGGGTTAAAATGGAAGGTGATAATTCTAGAATGTCAGGAATGCGAAAGGTGTGAGATGGTCAGCAAACGCCTTTTTATTCTCTGTGTCAGCCATGGTTACTTAAGCAAACAGATGAGGGGAACGCCAAGATGTCACGTACTGCGTTGAGGTAACTAGGGTAAGCTCATATCATCAATGTGGAGAGTGGTCCTAGGCTATTACTCCACGTACCCTCCCGTGTTACGACACTCCACAGCACCTGATGGAAATACGCAAGCGAGGTCAAGAAATTCTACAGGCATTTTGAGGTCTTTAGTCTCATTTTTCCTGGGAGTATGACTTGTAAATAATAAGGGGTGTGCTCATTCTATTTCTTTTCCCTCTCTACTGTTGTGATACTATGAAACTCTCCCCAATCAGGATTCAGATAGATCAAAGCCTCTAGGACTCGGGCAAAGAATAAGGCGCAACCTAATCTAGGCTAAGATCTCACCCTTCGCTCTAACCTCTTCAAAAACACTATCAACAACACGAGATGCACGGTACACAATCTCCTCGACATCACGGGGCGTGACGGTAAAAGGAGGTGCCAACAAGAAGTGATCACCATTCCAGCCATCAGCACATCCAGTAGATGAGAAGAGACATACGTCATAGCCCTTCTCAAGACCGCGAAGTCGCATTCGACGAGCAAGGTTTAGCTTCGGATCCAATGGCCGCTTGGTGGCCTTGTCAGCGACGAACTCAATACACCAAAACATACCACGACCGCGAACTTGGCCAACGTTAGGGTGGCTGTCAAAGGCTCGGTGGAGTAGATGTCCAAGTAGAATGCCCATGAGACGAGCATTGCGGACGAGGTCGTCCTCTCGGATGATGCGCTGCACCTCCAGAGCAGCGACTACGTTGAGAGGATGACACTGGTAGGTCTGACCGTGCTGGAAGGATGCGCTGCCTTGCTTCAGACCGTCGATAACGCGGTCGTGGATGAGGAGTGCTGAAATAGTACCGTAGCCGGCAGCTAACCCCTTGCCAACAGCTTGGATATCAGGGACTACGCCATCATATTGCCAGGCATGCATATGTCCAGTTCGTCCGAGCCCGGACATGACCTCATCGAAGACGATGAGTGCGCCATGACGATGACAAACCGCTTTCATGGCAGCCAGGTATCCAGGGAGAGCAGTGACACAACCCAGAGCCTAATTTGGGTTAGCAGTAGCTCTGTCGTTTGTAGGGGTGCATAGAAAGTGACTCACAGTTCCAACCATGGGCTCTAAGATGAAGGCGCAGACGTTTTCAGGACCAATCCGCTGGAACTCATCATCCAGCTCTTGAGCCAGTCTGATGACATACTGTTCCTCAGTCTCGCCATCTTCAAGATCCCTGTATGGGTGGCAAGGAGAGACGTGGCTGACATTGGTGGCGAGAACGTCAAGGAAAGGTTCCTTTCGGGCTTTGAGATCCCCGACAGCCAAGGCTCCCATGGTACATCCATGCCAGGAGCTCTGTCTGGCTATGAAGTGAGAACGAGGAGAACCTGGGTCCTTCTCAAGGAAGTATTGCCGAGCCAGTTTCATGGCAGCTTCGACGGCCTCAGAACCTTTTCTCATGTTAGGTGATATCTGACTCTGCTGATCAGGAATACTCACCGGAGCCAAGGAAGCATGCTCTCGACAATTCGCCCCCAGTAGACTGGACGAGAATGTCGGCGAGTTCATGAGAAGGGCTATTCTGGAAGTAGCCAGGATGAGCATATGTGAACTTATTCAGCTGCTTAATAATGGCTTTTTTGACTCTCGCATTGTTGTGGCCGATGGCAGAGACAGCAGCTCCGCCTGTAGAGTCAATAATCTTCTGGCCATTCTTCAATGTAAAGTAAAGCCCATCAGCAGATTCGACTGTTGGTGCTGCAGAAGGGTAGACACTCTGGTAGAATAGAGAGTTCTCCGAAACAATAGGCTCGTCGATAAGGGGGCCAAGAGATCCCATTGTGGTATAAGAGAAGATTTGGGTGATGAAAGATGCTGGTTTGTATTCTAGATCTTAAATAAGAGGAAAACTGTATTCCAATGAAGCGTTGGAGAAGAGCATGAAGAGAGGTTTTATACTTATTCTTCATTCGATGTCGGCCTTTGTACGGTACAGGTTAATGCCCGGTATCAACAATCATTCTCCTTTCATGCGCTTACAGCAAACACGAAGCCATCCTGTCACTTCCCTCTACGTTAGGACATTCACCATCGCTTACAATGTCGCATATGCCACCAAGACCTCTGACATATCCCGATTCTACAGGTTACAGCTTCATACTCCCACAGACAGTTACAGGAGCTCTGATAGGTGTTCATGCTCTCCACATCTGTAAGACTACTCTACACGAAAGACACCTCGTTTTAATGATAACGACACGTCTGTGGAGTAGAGTTCCATGTTTCAAGGCCTGACTACGATTCACAGTGAGAAGTCGGCAATCGCTTCTCCTTCTGGCACTAATGTGACGCCGTGCTTACGCAGAGATATAGCTCACAGCGGCATGCAGGACATGTCAGATCCTAGAAGGAATCATTCGCGAGCGTGAAACCCAACTCTCTCTGCGACCCCTGTCGGTCGTATAAATCTCCCCATGGAGTGTACCCCCACATAAGATCCTTCATTACTGGAGTCACGGGATGTGATGGCCCGCAGCTATCCACACAGTTTGGGAGCATTCACGGTAATAAGCAGGAATAATAAGCATATTCAATAGATCCACTAATGTGTTGAACCTGCGTAATGCTTACTGTATCGCGGATGCCGAAGTATGCATGCCTTCCTACCAATTATCGTCGCCTGGCGGGAATACCCAACTTGGAAGCCTGGAGGATTCCGCTTACATGTAACCCACTCTACTACGACAACAATAGCTTTTTCGCCACAACATCATCTCCGCTCTTTGTGTTTGCCGAGATCCTGAACAAAGAGATACCTAGAGAACAAGGGAGAAAACTAAACAAACAAGGTTCTTTTGCCATGTTACACAAGATACAGTGAAAGTCAGATTTGCGTGATCAACAAAGTAATTTCTATTACTCAAAGGAATTAGTTTTGTCATCAGCAATCGCAATGAATTATAATAACAAAATCAAGAGCTATTGTTTCAACATCTTACTCAGAATCACGAACGATTACCTCCATCATGACCAGTATCAATTTGACTGCAGCTGGCTCAGCTACCGATGCAATTGACCTAGAATCTCTTCCTCGCCTTTCGCACCGCGATGAGGAAGAAGGCAGACGACCAGTCAATGTTGCACAACAGGCAGTCGACAGCAATGTTGGTTCATCCCAGGAGACTATTGCTCCGCCAAAATGGAATCATCCTCCTATCAACAAATATCGTACTGCGGCGACATTCTGGTCGTTTCTTGTTGTAGGAATGAATGATGGATCTTATGGTGTAAGTCGGCTCTTGCTTATATCGAGCCCGATTGCTAACTATGATATCTTAGGCTTTAGTTCCCTTGGTGAGTATTATCTCGATGCCTCTGTGGTGACCCATGCGTGGCTTACTATTTATCACAGCTTGAGGATTATTACCACAAGAACCATACCCTTGTGTCTCTAGTGTTCCTAACACCCTTTGTTGGTTATGCTATCGCTTCTGCTATCAACAGCCTAATGCATGTGCATTTTGGTCAAAGAGGCGTAGCGATGCTTGCTCCTTTGTGTCACATTGTACCATATCTCATTTTTTCATTCCATCCTCCGTACCCAGTCATGGTAGGTGGCACTTCATTCTCAAAGTTAACGTCCAAAATGACTAATGGTTGTTCTTTAGATTTCCATGTATGTCTTTGTCGGCATAGGAAATGGACTTGCTGATGCCGCGTGGTGTTCTTTTATCGGACAGATGATGAACTCGCACGAGATGTCGGGTATCCTACAGGCGTGTTACGCCCTTGGTGCTACCATTGCTCCTCTTGTCGCGACTGGTCTCTCTGGAGAAGGTATGCCAGGCTGGTATGCATTTTTCTATGTCATGACGGCTGCGTCGGTTGTAGAGCTCATCTCCTTGACAATCACATTTTGGACACAGACTGGAGCCGTCTACTTGTCTGAAGCGCCCTCAGCATCTGGGGCTAAATCAGGTCGTATGCGACAAGTCCTAAAGAACAAGCTGTCGTGGATTTTCGCATTTTTTGTGTTTGGATACTGTGGAGCTGAAGGTGAGCACTAAATCATTTCTCTCTCGTTGTTACATTTACTGAGAATCTTTTTCCAGTTGCTCTTGGTGGTTGGGTGGTTGTCTTCATGCAGAAAAGACGTAACGCCTCAGCTATCGTCGGCAGTGCCGTAGCCACGGGTTTTTGGGGCGGAATGACAGTCGGACGCCTCTTTTTATCCTTGGTAACAGTCCGACTGGGAGAGTTCTGGGCCATGTTCTTATACATTGGAGTAACTATTGCCTTGGAGTTAGTATTTTGGCTGGTTCCGAGCCTGGTCGTCAGTGCAGTAGCAGCAGCACTAATTGGCGTTGCCATGGGTATGTTTTCCTCACAGATCCTATGCAGAGTTGTTCATAGCTAACGTGATAACTTCTAGGGCCAATGTATCCTGTCGCAGTTGTTCTCATTACCAAGGTCATGCCCCGCTCTCTCCATGTCGGGACTATCGGTTTCGCTGCTTCCTTCGGTGGCTCTGGCGGTGCAATATTGCCTTTTGCCGTTGGCGCTATTGCACAGGCAAAGGGAGTGCAGACGCTTCAACCCATTGTCCTCGCTATTTGCGTCGTGCTTGGCTGTTTGTGGCTGCTACTTCCCCGTAAACCAATGCAAAAGAATCAAACGGATGGCAATGAGAACTCTATGTAGGATAGAAAGACATAGAGTGTTTGAGCGGTAGTGCAGGGCTAGAAGGGAGAACAGTGTGAGGCACATACTCAGACTTACTAAATACATCATGTAATTAAAGCTCGTTCTTTTATCGTGCACTTAACCCTCCTAAAAGAGTGTCTACTAAGATTTTACATTTCTCCTATGAAGGACCTTGATTGTCTCCTGTAGCACTTGGCAAAGGCTGTAGAGTTTGGGTTGTTGGTGACCTAAATACTCCAAGTCTGTTAAGACATGGATGAACCAGAAGGCCGCTTCAGAAGACTAAAAATGCTGCAACTGACAGGTTCAAGGATACTTCAATTCTCTATAGGCTAGCCTTAAATACGGCATGGTCTCTAGAGATTGCATCATTCCGTGAGACGCGTCTCAATCTTGTACAAAATATCCGGGAACTCATCCCAACTACTCATGACAAACTTGCACCCAGCATTCTCCAGAACTCCGCGTAGTTCCTCAGCCTCTTTAGGTGTCTCACATGCGCCAGTGTATCCAACCGTGATAACACCAGCGCGCTTGGCGGAAGTTGCACCAGAGCGACTGTCTTCGACTGCAATGCACTCACCGGCGCTCTTATCCATAGTCTTCAAGGCGTGTAGATACACAGCTGGATCGGGCTTTGAGGTAGGAACAGGAAGCGAGTCTGCAGCGCTGAAAACGTCGTTTGGGTCGAAGAAATCAGCCTGGCCTGCTTTTTCAAGAGAAGCGCGCACACGACGCAGCGCCGATGAAGATACAACAGCGAGCCGATAGTGCCCCTTGAGACGCTCCAACTCAGCATTAGCGCCTTCACATGGTTCCAACTTTTGCATGAGCTTGGAAATAACGCGATCATCTTCCATGCTGGCATAATGCTCCAGCTCCTCATCCGAAATGTTGCACAACACATTGAACTTGGCCCCAATAGCGCGAATCTATCGATTACAATTTAGTCGAGTGTGCATAACTACCATTGGGCTTAGTCACTGACCATGCTTTGGAAGTTCTGCCCAACAAATTCGCGTTGCAAATAGCGGCCCGTAAAGTTCAGGTTGACTTTACGAGCAGCGAGTATCTCATTGGTGAGATCAGCGCTTGCTTCGAAAGCAAGAGACTCGGACTGCACAAGGGTATTGTCGCAATCCAGAAGGAGCGTTGTTATCTTCATTGAGGTCATTGATGATGTTAGTCAAAGATGGAAAGGAGTTACTCACCGTCTCAGGGCGGGATCCCATAGTGGCGGATTGTGTTCTTGTGCGACCTTATTCGAATATGATGCTACTGTGAGTGAAGGGTTGAGTAAGGAAATGGGAACGAAAAGTTGTAATGAATGGATTATGATATATCATATTCCTACGTGCTATTACAAAACATTACTCGAAATCTTTACACAACATTTGGCGTTGTTATCGTATTTCTTCTTTTCTCTTTTCACGTAAGCGGTGACGACGTGGGTGCTTATGCAGTATTTGCCACTGACAGAACACCCTCAGGGTCTGAGTACATAACCCCTGCATCGACTCACATCAGCCTTACAGATCATGCCAGCCTATACTAGTCTCTATTATTCCGTCCATCCATGCCTAATGACGCGGTAGGACTAATGCACGTCACATCTTCTAAATGCCGCACTCTATTTCAAATCCTAAAAGCTGTATGCAGTAAGAAAAGTGCCTGTCAGCGGATCTCACCCTGCGCTTATGTGATTGACTGCCAGGGTCGGCTTTAGAGATGGATATGATGCAGCATGGGTGGATGACAATGTTGCCTGGTTTCAGCGGCGAATGCAACCCTTTTCCTGTTGTATCCATGAATTTACGCGTTACAAACACGGTCGCTTACAGAACGTCCACTCAGATTTACGATGTTGTAAAGGCGCTCCAATGAACCCTTGGCCCGTGATCCTGAAGGATTTCAGTACAACATAAAGTTAGCTCACGATCTCCGCCGCAGACCCGTTCCGCGGGATCCCAAATTCGGTGGAGAATTTGGTCGCCGCATATGCATTCCTTCTGCACCGGCTCGGTTCCGTCATACCCTGCCTGAGCCGTTGCTTCAAACTGTTCCTTTCATTCTCGCTCCGCATTCTCAAAATACGGCAGTTGACTATGGAATATGCTATAGTAAGCTCTGACGGAATGATCGTCGCCGATGCTTACTAGTATTGGGAACTCGATTCGAGGATATCACACAGTGTCTCATACACGGTCTGGGATCTCATATCTCACGAAGAACAAGCTTAGAAGTGTTCCACAGGCGGAGGTTATGCCTATGTCGGTACTAGGGCTTAGAGTATGTTGATTCAGTAGGTTATACGAATCCACTTGTTTATGGTTACACAGATTATCAATATCTCGGTCATGGAATGTATTCCACCGTCTTACGAAGATGGGCTCATCGTCTACCTGCCAAGTCAGGAAGATGGATACGCGGCTTTGCTTTTACCTGATTCTTAGCCATGCAGCAGCTCGAGGAGAAACTAGGTGCCAGATTTCGTGCTTGGACACGAGTTGAAAGTCAATGTGTTTCCTGACGACTGACTCCAGCGCGAGTGACATAATCTATAAAGCAAGCTGTTAACAACGTGAACAAAAAGTCTTCGTTGTACACTGTCTCTTCATCTTCGATACTCCCAGGTCCTCCCCTCAGTCTTCATTATGCGGTTTACCATTGCTTTGGTGGCTCTTTTATCACAGGCATCATCAATCACTGCACGACACGATCATGAGTCTACTCTCGGTAGCACGTATGACTTCATCATTGTGGGTGGTAAGTGTGCAGACTTTCTCCTTGTCCGGTAACTTCAAATAATAATAATGGCTTCATCAAAGGCGGAACTACTGGTCTCATCCTTGCGGATAGGCTGAGTGAGTCCGGTGATCAGAAGGTATTGGTACTGGAAGCTGGGCCTGATCCAAACGTTGTGGCCATGCATCAAGCGCCGGGTGCCGTGGAATATATCGCTGGTAAGCCCAAATACAATGATGGGCTTTTCTGAAATCTCTGACCTGTTACTATAGGTACGGCCATTGACTGGAACTTCTACACGGAGCCTCAAGAAGGACTCGATGGTCGTAAGCTTGCATATCATCGTAAGTGTCATATTCCATCAGTTCATCTAATACTGACTCTCGTAGGCGGACGCGGTCTTGGTGGTAGCAGTATCCTTAACGGACTCTACTACGGTCGGGGCTCGGCTAATGTCTACGATCACTGGGTTGAGCTAGGGAATCCAGGTTGGAGCTGGGAGGAGGTATATCCATCTTTCATCAAGGTAAGCATCCTCACCCACGATTGGAACTCATTCCGCTAATCTAGGGAACAGAGTACTCACTTCAATGCTCCTAATAACGGAACGGGTTACAACCAAAGGTATCAGACCTGGGACCCCTCAGCGTATTCCAATGGTCCGCTGGAAATTGGTTACCAGGGATTCGTCCCGCCATCAAGCATTGCTTTCATCGATGCTTGCGCAGCAGTCGACATCCCCATAGTCAGAGACCTCAACAACGGGAAGAATGTTGGCGTTAAACAAGGAACTGCCACTCTGACCTCAGAGTACCGACGTAGTTCAGCCTACGACTATTACAAGGCTGCCGCCAAACTACCCAATGTCGACATTCTTCACGACGCCCCTGTGCAGCAGATCATCTTCTCAAAAAATGCTACTGGATTCCCCGTTGCGACTGGTGTCAACTTCATTGATCACTCTCAAGGTCGTCACCGCACTGCTACCGCTTCAAAGGAGGTTGTCGTCACCCTGGGAACTTTTCAGTCGCCCCAAATGCTGATGGTCTCGGTAGGAACACCCTCCACTGACTGATTGCCCTTGCATTTGCCAAGATAGGAGCTAACAAGATAACAGGGTATTGGCCCGGAGGCCACGCTTGACGCTTTCAATATAGAGCCAGTTGTCATTAATGAAAACGTGGGACAGCAGTAAGTCATCTTAAGTCCTTGTTTATACGACATATTCTTACAGCATGCAGCATGATGGACCATAACCTGTATAGCATCTCGGCCACAGTAGTTCCCGAAGCTTCAACTCATCAGCTTATGTTTAACTCAACTGCCGTCGAAGCCTCGCAAGAGGAATACTACACCATTGGAAAAGGAGTCTACACAGCCCCTGGGGGTATTACAAATGGCTTCCAAGAGCTGTCAAACACACAACTTCGAAAGATTGGTGCTGAAGCCGTCGCCGATGCTGGCCTTACCAACCGGTCTACAGTAGAGTTCCTCTTTGAGTCCTTCTTCTATCCTAATAGTCCAGGCCCCACCTACGAACCATCATCTGATAACTCGTACATATCTATCTCTGTCTCGAGTATGGTTGCTCTATCTAAGGGCAATATCACCATCCAGTCCAGCGGCATGTCCGATGCCCCTATCATCAACCCCAACGTATGTTGTCATGAATGCAGCTCTCATCACTTGCTCCATACTAACTGCTTTCAGTATTACACTCACCCTGCCGATCGCGCTATCGCCATCAACGCGTTCCGCGACGCACGGAAGATCCTTGCCCATTCTGCTTTTGCAAACCTAACTGTTGGGCCTAACCATGGAGAGGTTGCTCCAGGTGTTTCCAACATTGCTTCTGACGACGAAGAGGCCATCTTTGAGTACATCAAGGCTACGACAGTTCCTAACTGGCATGCTTCGGGAACTAATCGCATGCTTCCACTTGAGGATGGTGGCGTTGTCGACTCTCGACTTCGTGTCTATGGAGTGCAGGGCCTAAGAGTTATTGATAGTAGCATCATGCCTACAGTGCCAGACGTTAACATCGCTGGCCCGGTGTACATGCTGGGTGAGCATGGAGCAACTATGATCAAAGAGGATTGGGATATCTGATCATAAGGGGCTTTAGTGGGAGGAACTAGTTTAGCTCATCTTTTTAGACTATCAGCTCATATAAACCTCGCTAAAGAAATTAATGTGATGTCTCTACCTCAATTCAATTTCGGTATGCTGATCGCACTTATCTGATGTGACAAACTCTTTATTGCTTGGCCGGTATAGTTCGCCGATGTTTACCGGGTGCTAATATCTCACGAATCAAGCTATGTCACCTTGATCGGAAGCTCATGGCATTTTAGCCGAGATACGACGTGACTATAAAGACTATCGTACTATCTAAGTAATTGATAGCCATGTAATCGCGGGGGTAGTTGTCGTTCTTCTTTCCCCGCATTCGCTCAGATCACCGGGTTTCGCCAGACGACATCCGGTCTCATTTGGCAGTGCTCAATGTCGTGATGCTGCTGTCATTCTCGCTTTACGCTACCATCCCGGCGGATATTCCAGGTTCAAGGATGTATGGAAATCTACGGTCGTGTATATTAGAGAGGGATAGCTGGGTATTTAAGAAACATTTGTGGCCACGCGTTGTCTCTGGGCACGAGACTACGGGGCACTATTCCATCTTAGAGGCGGTATACTACTCACCATGGGCTACCTAAATCGGATCTTGCCTGTGCTCTTCTTTTGCTGTACGGGTGTTCTAGCGATGCTCCCTGCATCATATGATGTTGTCTGGCATAAACCTGGTGTCAATGGCTCAGCTGACTCTATGCCTCTCGGCGGCGGCGATATTGGCCTAAACACTTGGTACGAGAATGGTAAGGCAGTCGAATCTTAGCCCCCATTTCCATGCGAAGCTTTTCATTTACTCAAGTAACGTGTAACAGGCACCATTCTCATGTACGTCGCCAAGAGCGGAACCTTTGACGAGAACAATTCTCTGCTGAAGCTTGGTCGCGTCAGACTGTCCTTTGATCCCAATCCATTTGACAGCAAATCATTCGAGCAGAGACTACTTCTCAACGACGGTTACGTCAAATACACTGGCGAAGACAATGCAACTGCGAAGATTTGGGTTGACGTCTTCAACCCTGTCGTGCACATTGGGGTCGATAGCCCTGAGAAGATCGCCGTCAAGGTCGCCTACGAAAACTGGCGCTACGAAGACCGCGAAATCATCAATGAGGAGCGCAACCAGGGCTCATGGGGCATCTACACCTCCAAGATCGCAAACGGCACTACCTACGCCGACAAGATTGCCTTCCATGAGAATGGTGTACTTATGAGCCATCGTAATGAGAAGTTAGATCTATGGAACTTTCAGATGAAACAGCAAGGACTTGAGAAGTACTCTGATAATATGTACAACCCCATGCGCCACAATGAGTTTGGCATCTTTGTCCATTCCGAGGAATTGAAACCGGGTGTCGTCACAAATGGTCACTACATCAACACTACTTACAAGGCTTGGAATCTTGAGACCAAATCACCTAGCAAATCCTTCAAGGTTACATTGTCAATGTATCAGGCTCAGACCAAGAGTCACGATGAGTGGTACAAAGGACTTCAGAAGGTGATCAAGTCGGCAGTCAAGAACACCCAGGACGCGACTCTTACCTGGTGGCACAATTACTGGGCACGATCCTATATCATCATCAACGAAGAAAAGGGCGAGAAGGATGCAGGCTTCCAGGTCGGCAAAATTTATCAGATCTGGCGATACCTTATGGGGTGCAATGCCAAGGGCGACTGGCCCACCAAGTTCAATGGTGGTCTTTGGACTTTTGATCCCATTTATGTCAAATGTGTTCGAGTATAATGCGCAGTGGTACGATGATGATGCTAATACTCCGCGACCTGACTTCTTTCCTAATGGTGAGTTGTGGAATGTCTGGCTGAACCATGTGAAGGATACGGCCAAGTAAGTTTTGCTTAATACTCTTCCTTCCGGTGAAGTATTTCTAACAATTGACTTGAGTGAGTTCGCCGATATGATCCTGCAGGCCAACATTTACTCTGGCTTCGACGTAAAGCCATACCTCGAATTCATCGAGTATCAACTGGCTTGGTTTGACAAATTCTATACTCGGGAGATGCAGAAGCGCAACCCTTGGCCCTTAACCGGTATGGCTGGCAACGAATCTCTGGTCATATATCCAGGCTCTGGTGCCGAGACATACAAAGAGTCATACAACCCCGTCTCCACTCTCGCTGGTCTACGTCAAGTCGTCAAAGATCTCCTCATTGTCGACGAGTATTCGCTCCAAAACAAGACTTACTACACCAAATACCTGGCCAAGATCCCTGTGAACACTTTACGACAGCAACAAGGCCACACTTGCATTGCTCCCGCCGAAGCATACACACGCGTTCAAAACAGCGAAGTCCCTCAACTTTACACTGTCTTCCCTTGGCCCGACTACGGTCTCGGCCTTCCCAACCTCACGCACGCTATCAACACTTATCTTTACGATACTGAGACATTCTCATTTCACGGCAACACTGGCTGGAAGCAGGATGTGATCTGGCTTGCGCGAATGGGCTTCACAGCCAACGCGACCGCCATGACAGAGGAGCGGTATGCACCAAGCAAAGTGTGCAAGTTTCCAACTTTCAAGGGCCCTAACTTCGATTGGACACCGGATTTGAATCACTACGGTTCTGCAGCCATTGGACTGCAGGAGCAGCTCATTCAGACTTTTGTCGGAAATGACATTAGGTTGCTTGCTGCTTGGCCCAAGTCTTGGGACGCGCGATTCAAAATTTGGGCTCCGCATAATACCACGGTCGAGGGTATCGTGAAGGCCGGTAAGATGGAGAAGCTCACGGTCCTGCCCAAATCTCGCAACAGCGATGTCATTGTTGGTCAAGATTGAACGCAATAGTTGATGAGCTGTAGTTAAGAAATAACATGATTTATTAAGTTGCAGGAAGAGATCTCAATACTAAACGCGCACCATCTAAATTTTGTAAAAGGTTAAACCTTGATACGTGAGCAACGCGTTGCTCACGGAAGATTCCACGTGCTTTGAGGAGATGACGTCATGAGCGTCGTCAAGGGATTGAGTTAAAAAACCAGCATTGTTTAATTAATTATCTCAGCAATATGTAACGATGAGTATCTTTCAGAACGTAAACGCACAGGATGACCGACAGACTCCATCTAGGTTATTCTTCTAACAAGGACAAGGAATGATCCAGCAGTTGATGGGGATCGGGCATGGAATGATGCCACAGAGTCTGCCATCACAAGCACCTCCTCCACGGAGTTCCATTTGAGGATCTGCTGTCTCGGGGGCCTTCTGGGGATCTGCAAGATGTCAGTATCAAGTACTACAACTTGGCGTGACGGCAGTTGGAGCGCGTTGTTATCTTACCCATTGATTGCTGAGACTTGGGTTGATTGGTCTCGAGAGACTGAGAATTCCTCATGTCGGACAGTTCTTGTGGCGCAGATTGAGAGGAAGACATTCTGATGGCGGATAAGATACGCTGTAGGGTGCGCGATTGAGGTTTGGGTCGATGATATGAGGTTGGTTATTGAGGAATTAAGGTTGGCGTTCAGCTGACGGGCGCTGACGTTATATACGCGGCAGCGCGGTAAACAACGTAAAGTACGTGGCGCAGTTGCTAGATGAGGCTGAAGAGTGGCTGTGCCCAGGATCTACAGGTCGGCAATAGTCCCACTTCGACACTATAGGGTAGTAACAACTAAAAATAGCTTTATTTACCGAACTTTATAAGTTCTTTTATTGTGATAAAAGTATCTCCTCAAGTCCAAGAGGGATAGTGTAGATGGGAAAGCTACATGAACTGGTTCTTCACGATGCAGATGTAAACCAGTGCCTAAGACGGACGTGATCAGCCCCGCATTATGACAACTCACTTTGAAAATACAATCAGAAGTTTTGGGCTACTGGGCCAAAGCCGATATTATACCGAGCCTGATTATGGTTATTGAAAAGTCAGGCTGCGGCTTGTTAATGCCCAAGACTCTCACTTACCTTCTTCATCTCTTATTCTAGAACTGAAAGGGGCACTGTCTATTCCTTTTATAACGCAAACCCCTTAAAATAATCAATCTTATCGGCAAGATGTCCGCCTACTCCGTTGAAGCTAAACCCGAAAGCGCAGAACTCCACGATACAGATTCAACGGTTGCATGGAGTGACTGGAAACACGTTGGCGATCGCTTTGCACGAAAAAGGTCCAGAATTATTGGTCTCAATGATCATTGGAACAGCAACTGGATCTGGGACCCAGACCATCGCCAATACTTTAGACACAACCCCTTGGAAAAGGCTATGCATATGGAGACTGTCAATACCGAGTTTCAGTTTTGTTACGAGCTCCCCGATGAAGACAGCATCCATACCAACGAAGTTGAAGAGCATATGCAGAAACATGATGAGGATTTAGCCGATGCTCAAGAAGAAGCAGACTGTTCGGTTGGCCCCGGAAAAACGGGTCAAGACTTTCCAGGTCTTCCATCTGGTGGTGATCGGACAGATAGCATGGCGCCTCATCAAGAGATGATGGCCCAGCCACAGAGCTCCTCAATAATGTCTTTCCTCAGATCTTCATTCCCATCTATGCTCGGTCGATCTGCTGCTGCTGCGACAGCAAAAGTAGCAAACGACAGTTCACAAGCAGAGAATCTAACTGCGATAGCCGCTTGGGTTTTTGGACCAACTATGCTAGGAGCTGCCGGTGTTCAGGCCTACGCGGCAATGAAGAGTGCCAATGCGACTGAGAGGGCTGCCAAAGCCCAAGAGTTCGCAAACCGTGCCAATGAAAGGAAAGCTCAAACGACCGATAACAGTGTTCCGCCCCCGAGCGGTGACAGGCCGCAAGGTCCTGAGGGAAGTGAAAGTGTTGCAGAATCGCCTCCAGAGGTCAAAAGACTCGCTGAAGTGATAGATCAACAGCAAGAGGGTCGAAATGTTTCAGCCACCGCAATTACATCTTCTGCCACTAATGGGGCCTCAAAGAGGGCAGATTTTGGGGCAAACCAAACCAGAATCCAGAATATTAGATCCAAAAGTATCTCTGCCTCTGCCAAGTCTTTACAACAGTCGCCTACGGCAAATTTATCTCAGTCAGAGCAACCTACAAGCCAGATTCGCCCGAGACTTTCACAAAAGGCAATAGCCGAGAAAAAAACTCAGTTTAGGAACGTTGCTACTGCTCAAAAGCAGATTGCTGTACACAAAGAGATGAGTGAGTATGATAAGGCCCTTCACGCATTGCTAGATAGGAAGTTGCAAGATGTGCGGAATAGGTTTGCATGAAATAAAGGTGAGGTTTTCCGTTCTGGGCAGTTGGCTACCAGGGCATAGTCAAGTCATGTTTAGCTATGGATAACTGCCAGCGCCGGTGAATTTACGGAGGAGTGAGACGCGGAGGCCATGGGGTATTCCCGAAAGAAGATCAGGCTGTAGGTTGCTGGCTTGTCGTCAATCTGAGGGGTGGCGTGCCCTGTTTCGCTATTCTTCTTCTTTTCAAACACTGTCTATAGGGACGTTTAACTACGGCCATGTATGGGGAGTTCATTTCAAGAGGCCTATATGGTTAAGGGATCAAAGATGGTCCAAGTCCAGCACTCTCTATTCTGTAACAAAAGTCAGAAATTTCATGTTAGATAAAACAAAGGGTAACAGCAGATAGTTTCAGTATGCCGGGGTAAGTACAAGGTGCAGGTAACGAGAAATTCATTACTTTTTTCTAAGGCATAGTTCACTCTTAGCGGCCTCCCTGTAATCTACACTATAGTACACTACCTCGTGTCTTATAACAGACAGTGGACAGGAGGGTTTAACCAAGACCAGCTTGCAGCCCCCAGTAACGTAAAACCAGCTATACCATGACGGCGATAGCTTTATCCTGCATTTGTGTCAATCTTGCCCTTCCATTCCGTCGCTCGTGCAGCATCTGCATAGTTCGTAATGGTCAGCAACTAGCCAAGATCACTTTGCGAGATGAATAACTTACAGCGCTGTACTCTTGCGCGACGCTGACGTGGTTATGATTCGTGGTGGCCGTAGCCTGTAGAATGGTGGAAATTGTGGCATCTGGGCATGTGCAGCAGCCCTGCTGTGCCAGGCCGTAGCTAGCAGCAGCTTCTGGCCCCGCTAGCATGTTGGATGAAACTTGTATGGGGGTAGGTAGCGTTGTAAGGTTGGAAGAAAGCAGTACGAATGGCAAGGACATTAAGTTATCGCCGTAATGTAGATGATTGTTGGAGAGTTGTAATTCGAGGTCGAGACGATGTTTAAATACCTGAATTTCTGGTGGTTCGTCCGGCTTACTGCTGGGGGCCATTGTTGGTAGCAGTTCAGTTCGGTGGCTGTGCCAGCTTATGATTGGCTCTGTCCGTGGGAGGGAGCTTGTTTGAATGCCAACGAAACAAACAAGGCGTTCTCGGTGCGGCGCAGCCAACTTCATCGTTTGTCTTATTGGATATTCACTTCCGCAATCGCGCATAAAGAAACATGGAGGGTTCCTACTGTTCGAGCTCGACAAATTAAAGCCTATGTTTCAATCATCCTCTTAACCAGTCTTAATGGGTTTTCAATCCCACCGTTCCCCCACTTTTTCTGATATCTGTCCCAGATAGTTCTTGTCGACGATTTCTGGTCCCTTCTACCACTGATTCTCGCATTTTCCGGGCGTATATCGTCTCCAAGAGAGGCAAGCTTCTCTGTAGATTGTAAGAAAATTGTTATTAATAATGTAAAGTTCTGTGACTAGACTTTCTGCTTTCTCTCCATGGCTATGCTACTGTCCATTACCAATTTATCTTATAATATCTACAATTATTATAGGTGACAAATTCTCTTAATTCATTCTTAATAAATACATTTATTCACCAAAAAAAATTTGCTACAAACTCTGGGACAGCTTGACCAAATTGAATCTCTGGCGTTAGGAGAGCGGCTGCACCAGCCATAACCACAGTTCAGTCAACCCCCCAAAAGCAATTGTGCTGGCTGAAGTTGGATTTGGATGGGTATAAGTAAAATGATAAGGTCAAAGAGCGGGAAATCACCAGGTAGTTGAAAGTGAGGCTGACGACACACACCCATTTATGCCTGCAGTCACTTTTGGCCAACGCACCAAAGGGCTGGACAGTTTATTATGTTTGTACCGGAGCGCTGACCTCAACATGATCAACAAACACGTCAACCTTGGTCATAAAGTCATTCTGCAACGTCCCAGAACTAAGATACCAGACATTATCACCACTATTAGTGATAAAGAATGTATCCCAATCGGGGTCTGGTGATCTCGTACACGCTTGAGAAGAACCGGGTCCAGTTTGCCAGCAGTCCAATTTCACAGCACTGCAACTAATAGAGGTGCCAGGTCCCTCGAACTGTGCACAGTTGAGGGGAACACTTCCGTAGTAGAGACTGTTGGTTTCGCACCGCGTGATCAGGGCGTAAGGTAACCCGACCTGCTGGTATGCGCAGACCGTCACACCATCTTGCTGGAGCTCGCCGGTGGTCTCGTCAACTAGGAAGCGGACGGGGTTGAAAGTCGAGCCGCGGTCGCCGAATACCATGGGAGTGAAAGTGTCGCCGTTGGACTTGACTTTGCCTCCGAGAGCTGGACCTTCACCGGCAACGAGGAAGTAACCCGTTGGGACTGCCTCTTCGGAAGCAGTGGTGGTCGCAACAGCTGTAGTTGTGAGAGCTGTTGTTGTATCAATTGGGGTAGCGGCTTCGGATGTTGTAGCCGTAGAAGTTGGCTCGACCAAGGTTGTTGAGGCGCTGACTTGGGTGTAGTCGGTACTCGTTGAGCCAACTGTAGTCGAAGCCTCGGCTACGGAGGATTCGATTGAGGTCGAGGTTCCAACTACTTCGGTCTCGGTGAGAGTCGTGCTGGGATCTACCGTGGAAGCAGACCCGATGACCGTCCTCGAGATGTCGGTCGTAAGGGATGACGAAATGACCTCCGACACAACAGCTAAATTGATCCGGTTAGTTATTGCATGTTCACAGGCTCTCGGGAATAACACATACTGGAAGACGGTGGCTTGCAAGGGCTAGCAGCCACAAGCCCAACAGCCAGCGAAAACGAGGCGTAAAAGCGCATTGCTAACGAAAGACTGAGGTTAGAATTAAGGTGCCTGCAGTTTGAAAGTCAGAAAAGATGTCAGTGGCGGTCGCAACACCTTAATAAACTCTCCGACTTGACTCCTAATTATTATCGCCGATAGACGCGTCCTCTTCAGCTTGCCCTAAACCCTGCCAATTCTACAGACTATCGACTGTGAAGCGGCGCTACAAGCTGTCAACTAACGCTCTGGAGTTTAATGGCCACGGTAGCTCAACGCTACAGGTGCTAGCCTCATGCACTCGGAAATTACCCTTGAATAATCACCGTACGATTCTCCTGATTTTTATCTCACGAGTCTTGTCGTACGCTGGTATCGCGACTCAAGTTAACAAAAACATACGGAATCCGCAATTTGTGACGTTTGACTTCATATATAACAATCAATCAATCAAAGTCCGTTGAACTCTCCACCTCCATCACGGAAGACCTCCTCTTCCCACGTCGCTTTAGAACCCCGCGGCTTCCGGCTTCCATACCGACACGTCTCATTGGGCTCCATGCTCGGAAACCTATCATAGACCGTCAAGTTGGCATTGAGCTTACCCAGGCGGGGATATCTGTCCTTCGCCTCTGCTGAAGCCGCCCAGTATCTGACCCTGCTGCCCTCAAGCTGAACAGTAGCCAAAGGCTCATCGGTTTCTCTAGGCAGCAGAGCGGATTTGACAAGGCCACGCAGCTTCTGGTGGTACCAGGGCCTATCCCACCATGTCGCACGTCTTTCCTTGAATTTATTGTGATGCAGCATAGCTGGTACTGTTGAGAGGAAGAAGTCGGTATACAGAGGCATGTCGCTCCAGTCAACCGTCTTGCCGTCTTCGACCAGCGGGCTTTGGACCGATTTGAGATCATCTGGGATGCCCTCCACCCGGACTGGTGATATACCGCGTACCTCAGAGTTCATTTCGATGGACTCTTGGTCGCTCAGCACGACAAAGTCACCGTCAAAAAGGTTATTTTCTGGGCTGATCTCAGTTGCGAATGTCTGTGCCGATATTTCCTGAGCGTAATCAAGTCCAACGTGAAATTCGAAATTCTCCCCGACAAAGTCCTCCACATCAACGCTAACGTGGTTGTGTCTTTGCAACTCGCGCCAGACTTCCTGCGCACCAAGCAGGTCGCCAATCATACCCTGCTCGCTTCTTACAGGGAAAGCCTCGCCGACCATTGCTTCGATCTTTTGCTTGGCGCGGCGGAACATTCGTCTCATGTCGCCTGCTGGGCCGATGTACATGCCGCCATTGATCCATCTAGGTCTGTTGTTGCGCCAGAAGGTAGTGTTCTTTTCCGTTTCCGGTCCATAAAGGTCCTCTCTCAAAGGAGTCTCGGGCCAAAGGTCACATCTCAAATCCACGCCAAACCGTTCAGGATGAGCAGGGTAGCATCTCTTTTGCGATGCCGCGACAATTGTCTGCTTCATCGGCATGGGTACATCCTTACGCTTCCATTGTTTGCGCAGTCTTTCGTTGGCTCTTCTGTTGATTTCATGGTACCGACTGAGAAGGACCTGAGCAGGGAGCTGGAACCAGACGTCGTAGGCGTCAACCATGAGCACGATGTCGTCTTCTTCTAGCTTCTCTTCTGTGGTGGCATTAGGGTGCATAACTGAATCAAGGTAATTGACAAAGCCGATGATCTTGGGAAGATTCTTGCCAAGCCGCCAATGTGAGATGTCCCGATAATTGACTCCCCAATTGATGATGACTGGGCTTGGGTAGCCTAAGGCGAGCGAGCTGAAGACTGTCCTGCATAGGTTCGGACTTGGGTTCGTGGAAGGGATGATGAAGGCAAACCGACGGTCTTGGTCAACAGGGGCCGCCTCGGGTTCTGTGGTGTCGACATTGTCTTGTTGCCAGTCTGCTGCCCTTATTTCCAGCCTCGACCACCATGATAAAGCATAGAGAGATAGAGACAATGCCAGAGAAATTGTGATGATTTTGTAAAACATGGGTGCGCTGAAGATCACCGACAGAGGTGCCCTACTGGGCTTCGGATTGGGGTAGAGCATGTTAGCTTTGGTGTTCTGGAACCGTGGCTGAGCCACGAAAGGCCAGTCAGTCAGCGAATACTACTGTGATAATTGAAGGATGGTGATAATGGGCGATGGAAAAGACAGCTATGAATGTCTCTGAAGGGGAAATTAGCTGTCAGATGGCCATTGACATTGACGCGGAAATTTTTATTGATGGTGAAATGTCGAAGAGCTTAAGAAGGAGAGATAGCAATTACCCCTGATCTGCCCTTGTCTTGGTTGGTGGCTTGAGACATAGCAATTTAATGGCTGGGGAAGAAGAATGGTGGCAAGCTTGGCAGCCCCCTTGCTTAAAATAGGGCGATAACCAATGTGAGGAGATGCCTCCCTTCGAACCGTTGAAATGTCGCGAGTTTAATATTCTTATTTAGATATGCAGTTTTACGCCACCGCTACACTTCTTTGCTTATTTTGCACAGAAGCGACCTCGATATTATATTTTGCTGAGAAGTGAAATTTGGAACGAATGGTATGTCTGACACATGTGTCTGATAGAGGGTGGCATCGCCATTTTTAAAGCGTCAATCATGACTAAAACATAAGCATATTGCGTCTATGTAAGATTAGGTGAGACACACAACAGTGAAAGCTTTGTCCCCTCTGCAGCCCTCACAATAAGCATCGCAATCCTGGGGCAAACGCGCGCTAGAATGTATCTTCTTCCCTTAACACTTACATTCGGTATGCTGCCTGAACTGTGTTTATGAGAGTGTTATTTTGAGTTGCTAGATCGATAGCTGAAGCTTGGACAGCGCGGCGTACTCGCTACAGTTAGATAGTGAAGAATCAGGCAAGTCACGATAGGAGAGCGCTGGTGTTTAAAATCATTAGAATTGAAGACTAATGGACTAAAAGAAAACCCCAACAAAGCGTGTACAAACCATCAGTCCCTAAATAATAGATACCCCGAACCCCAAACCCAAGCCGTTAAAAGGAATTATTAGTAGTAGTACAGACGAAAAGAGAGTCATATCAGGGACCACATTGGCTGAGATACCAAGCGACAAACTTGACAATGCCCTGTTGAACTTGCGTCTTGGGCTTGTATCCAAGCATGGCTCCCGCCTTGGAGATGTCGGCGTAGGTGATGGGCATATCGCCAGCTTGCTCTCCCTTTCTATCAATGCGTGCCTTGCGTCCTAATGTGTCCTCAAGAGCACCGATAAGATCTCTCAACTGGATGGTCTGTGACTCTCCAAGGTTGAAGACCTCGTAGTCAGATCCTTCATACTTGAGAGCAGCGAAAATACCATCAATGATATCGTCGACATATGTGTAGTCTCGACGGGAAGAGCCATCTCCGAAGAGCGGGATAGGCTTTCCTTGGTGAATGAGCCTCGTGAACTTGTGGATAGCAAGGTCTGGACGCTGGCGAGGGCCATAAACGGTGAAGAAACGAAGGCAGATGCAGCGAATGTCGTACAGATGAGAGTATGTGTGGCAAAGCAGTTCTCCAGCAGATTTGGATGCTGCGTAGGGAGAAATGGGCTGTGTGCTCTTGTAGTTCTCGTTGAATGGAGCTTTGGCGCCAAGACCGTACACACTCGATGATGATCCGAAGAGGAACTGCTTGACGCCAAACTCTCTAGCGCACTGAAGCAGGTTCAGAGTGCCATTGACATTGGTATCAAAGTACTTGTTGGGCTGGCTCAATGAAGGAAGAACACCAGCGCGGGCTGCCAGATGAACAATAGCGGAAAAGCCATTGTCAGCGAAGATAGTCTGAAGGGCCTCGAGATCCTCAATGTCGGCTTCGTAAAGCCTCAGATTCGGGTTCAGAAGATGAGGCGCAAGGTTGGCGCGCTTGATCGCAGGGTCGTAGAACTCATCGAAGTTGTCAACAACGACAACTCTCCAACCGCCCTCAGCAAGAAGAGCTTCGACAAGATGGGAGCCGATAAAGCCGGCCCCACCAGTGACGAGAATAGCTCGTCTGGGCTTGGAGGTGCGTATCCTGGTGATGATCGTCATGCTTGCTAGTGGAGAGAGGTAGTAACTGAAGAGGGTCTGGGAAAATGGAGAAGGTCGGCGGGTTCGGATTTGTAGCGGGGATTAACATATTTAGTCGAAAGGAGGAGATACTCCCCTTTAAGGGATGCTTCAGACAATTTGACCCTTCGGAAGTGTTAAGGGTGAGTTGCAATGCGCCACAATACTGCGTGTCTTCCGAAATTCTCACTAATGCAAGCCACTCTGAATAACACGGTTGAGATTAATCTCCTCGGTTGACATTTTTGAGTCGAGGCGCATCGTGTGTTGGGTTTATCAGCATGCAAGACAGCCAAGAAAATCAGGGAGATGGTGCGCCCAACGATAAGGTAGTTTTTTAAGATAGCACTAACGCCACTGTCTTAGCCGGGGTCTTTCGATCCGGTCTTGCGTCTTGGCGGGGGAGGAATGCTAGTGGCGGCCATGGCAAGGGAGGACTAGGATTGTAGGGCTGTATGGCTGAAATGCTTTATCTAACCTTAGGGCTCTGGCATGCTCTCGTTGAATTATATATTAAGAAGTAAAGTACTATTATAATTACTCCCACGTCTCATCAGTGCTGCTTTTGGTCCAAGTGTACGCAGCCCCATCACGGAAGTGTTTGCTTAATACTTCGGCCGACACATTCGGCCGTTATCACTAACAGTCCACTGTTCACTGCCCACTGCATTCCTGGCGTAAAAGAATCCCTGCTTATCCCACTTGGCCTTTACAGACAACAGCTTGTTGTAATTGGCTCCAAAGAACTCCGACTGGAAGTTGGGCTGACGGAAGTCTGCCTCGTTCATGTACGCTCCACTGCCAGGCGTGACAGCTTCAATCTCAGGCATGATTGTATCAGTCATGAGGTTCTGGAGATCCAGCATTTCTGACCAGGGAGCAGTGAAGTTCCATGGTGTAGTAAGAGTGGCGTGCACGAGGGCCTTGTTCCAAGCTGGCAGAAGGGACTGCTTCTGAGTGTTGCTGAAGGGTGCGACATTGGTGCCGACACCGATCCACGTGACGCCCTGCTCGACGATGCTGATAGCAGCTTGAGTGAGGTCGTCGTTGTTGTTGACGATAGTATCACGGGGGATCAAGCGACCGCCGTACTGGGCAATCCCGACTTGGATGTTACCAATGGGGAGAGGGCCGAAGTAGGTATCGTAGTGGTTGTAGTAGTTTGCTGACTGGCTGTACTTGACAGTGTAGTTCACGCCCAGACCATCAAGCGAGCTGACGAAAGGTGCAAGAAGAGTCTGAACCTCATCTTGAGACTTGCCGAAGGCTGTCAGAGGGGCAATCTGGAAGAAGGTGTTGGTGAAGTAGTACACCACCATAGATCCAGCATCAACCATGCCAGGGAGCTTAGAGTGGAAAGTCTCAATTGCCTTGTAGAAGGTAGCCTGATCGTTGTTGGTGTTGAAGAAAGCAAGGGTAGCAGCGCCAACCTTGGCATCAGGGAAGGCCTTGACTGTCATAGACAGGACAACGCCCCAGTTACCGCCGCCACCACCATTTAGAGCCCAGAAGAGATCAGAGTTCTTAGTGGGAGAAGCAGTGACAACGCCAGAGTCTGCTGTGACGACTTCAAACTCAAGAGTGTTCTGCGCCGACAGACCAAAGCTTGTGCTGAGAGCTGAGTGGCCACCACCTTGGGTATAGCCACCAGTAACACCGACGGTAGGGCATTCACCGCCGATGACAACATAACCAGCATCGTTTCCAGCCTTGAGGATGTCAAAGCCTTGAACACCAGCACCGAGAGTAACGGCCTTGCCCTTGTATCCGTTGGCGTTGTAGTCCTTGAACTGGATATCCTTGAGACGATGGGTCCAGACGGAAAGAGCACCGGCACCGGTGGATCTTCCATTGTAGTCGTGGCCAGTGTTGCGAATGACGAAGCGGATGTTGTTGTTCCGAGCAAAGTTGATGGTGTTGACAACATCAGCCTTGGTCTGCGCCTCGACAGCATAGCGAACATAGTTTCCTAGTTCGCAGGCACGGGACTCGGGTTGGAAGGGATCGCAGCTCTGGTTAGCGAACCAAGGAGCCATGACAGACGACGAGGAGTTCATGCTAACTCATGTTAGTACAAGACTAGACTGCATCAGAGTCGAACTTACTGGATCCCGGGATGTTGCCATTGGTCCTGGAGGTACTTGCACTGAGCAGCATCGTACGTAGGATCGTGACAAGGCGACCCCAAAGGAACAGTCTTGATCAAACGACCATTGACAGTCGTGTTGAGACTCTTCCATTGGTTGTCTGAAGGCCAGCAAGCATCACCAGGAAAGCATTTACAGCTAGATGTAGTGGCATACGCCTGGGCAGTGGAGAACGCCGCAGCGGCTGTAACGAAGCTTGTCACTTTCATGGTTGATGTCCTGCAGATGAAACACTACCTGCGTGAGTAAAAAGAACAGACCAGTTAGATAAAGGGTGTGACTCACAGAAAATGCTACAGTGTCGCAGATCTTGCAGAGAAAAGAGAGTGGTTCTTGTCTCTTTTTACTTTTTGGGTTATATAAGTACTATTAGAGTTTCCTCGTGCATCGTAAGCATCGGTGTCAATGTCTTGACTGAGCTAGTCCCACCGATGATAGTGCACTTTGAAAGCGGAGACAAGGCACGGAAGTGGCTCACGGGCCGGGGCTGGGACTAGGATGTTTAGGTTCACCGGCACAACGGTCTACCTGACAGGTTTCCATGTCAGAAGCTTATCTCGGTCGACGCCGGTAATGGGTTGCCAAGGCCCTGGGGGGTTCAACAGCCGGGACGAGTGATCCATTATGAATGGTCCATGAACGCTCTGTCAGTTCCCCCTGCATGAAGATGCATTTCGCATCGTCTCGAGGAGAAGCGACCTGCCAAATTGAGTTTTGTGGCTGTCGGAGTGCGTCAGATCAGACCATGGTCTCGGAACAGAGCTCATTTCGAAGGAATCAAGTTTCTTTTTTTCTAAAGAGGGTGATGTATAAGTCGGCTGTACTCTTCCGGATTGTGCTCTCCATACTGTCGTCGCATATTTTCCAATGTCAGGCTGGACTTACAACGCCCCGAGCGGCTCGCCAACCGATGGCCCTCAAATCACGTCTATCGCTGTTGTATTCACAGCCGTTGCGCTCCTTACGGTTCTACTGAGAGTTTACGTCAGAGGGTTTATGCTCAAGTCGGTGGGAGCTGGTAAGAAGAGCCTGTCGTTTCCCCGTTGTTCGCTGGCACTGACGCGTCTTGTTTGTAGATGACTGGATCATCATCGCGACATGGGTAAGAAGGGATCTGCATTCGATCTTCAGATGACAGACATGCTGATCAGCAACAGATCGCGAGCTGTGGATTCGCTGTTGTTACCGTGATACGTGAGTAAACTTTCGCTAAGATCGAGTGTTGCCGATCACCAGTTGACACATTCTAGAAACGAAATGGGGGCTCGGATTGAAGAAACTTGATGACTTGCCTCAGCAAAACTACTACAACTTCATGCTGGTAAGTCCATTATCTCTCAATTGTCTATCAAAAACTAACAGTGTGTCAAGCTACAATTCATGGGCGCGCCATTGTAAGATCGACTCCTCTCGCGATACCGAATAATTGCTTACCGATGACGAAAAGTTACATCTCTAGTATCTTAGGGTTCAAGCTCAGCCTTTTGATCTCGTACTTGAGGTTCATGGCCTCAGGAATCTGGTACAAAGTCACTGTCGGCGTTGCTGTTGCCTGCACGTTGTTCCATATTTCGTTCTTGATTGCGCAGATCAACCTCTGTACACCTGTACGTGGCCCCTCGGACGATCTCAACACTTGACTTTGCTAACAAGTGCTTCTCGTAGGTTCGAAAACAATGGGATTTGAGCATTACACACGGCTCTTGTCTCAAAGGCGTGCCTATGTACACGACTATGGCCTCAATCACCATCGTATTTGATGTCGTCGTGTAAGTATTTACGACATTGGCAAAATGAAGTATCTAACCAGTGACAAACACAGCATGATGCTCCCTTTCCCGACATTACTCAAGCTCCAGATGCCGAACCGCAAGAAGGTCGTTCTCCTCGGTCTTTTCGCCATGGGAATCTTCATCTCCATCATCCAAATCGTCCGCATCCAGACCATAAAATCCCTCTCCAACCTCCTCGACTCCGCAGGTCTCATCAAATGGTCAATGGTCGAGAACAACCTCGGAATAATCGTCGCCTGCGTCCCGACCCTCGCCCCTCTGGTGCGCTACTTCAGCGAGCAGTCCCGCGTCGGGAGTCGCAGCCGCAGCAAGTCGCAGAACAATTCCGGTTACGCGCTGCAGTCGACCTACCGCAAGAACCTTTCCCGAAGAAGCGGACTGCAACCTTTGGGTAGTGGGGTTGATGAGCAGATTGGTGATAGTGCAGAGGACATTTTGGCCAAGGAGGACGGAATCATGCGCAAGACGGAAATTGTGATTAGTTCAGCTCAGGGACCGGCGGATAGGGGAGAGCTCACTCCGGGACACTATCATGGGAGGTAGACATTATGATTTATTAGTTACATTTAGTGTAAGATACCAATGCACAAGTGACAGATGCTTGTTAGAAAAGGTCTCGAACTGTTTCTGCTCCGCGGCGTGGTAAGGGTCATAGTGTTGATTGGGTCGCATCTGAATTCGTCATATCATCTTAACGCATTTTATTCTAGTGTTCCAAAAAGCAAAATGGTCAGGCGAATTGTTCCAGCAATGCAAATGCAGGGTTTCCCTGCAGGATAGTGGCTCCGACGTCAGTTTTGGGGTATTCGCCCGTGCGCTTTCAGGGTCCTGCGGCTAAGTCGGCTCGGATCTGTTCTATTGCACGGAACTTGCCATATACCGAGGTGGCTTTTTACTCCATAGCTGTTCGGCGATATACCGTGACTTCTGCCGACGGTGATAATAGAATATGCTTATATTACTAAGTTTTAGCTCAACGGCAAGCTTTCTGCTACGAAAGCCTCTAGACGAGTTAATATCCGCCTGCACTAAAGCCAATAGCCTCCGGTACTAATACTTAGAGCGAGACGAAATCAATTGCCGACTTAGAAGTGCTGAGCATTAACACCTTGAATATGATTTCGGGTCTTTCGTCAATTAGTAATCCTACGGTTCGCCGATAGTGCCGGAGGAATACGCGATAACGTGGTGGTCGAGGTCTTTGGTGTTTGAGTCAGTCCAAATTCACTAAGATAACAATCTTATTGCGAGCGGGGTCACAGGAACTCAGTCGGTCAACTAATAGAAGCGAAGTCATAAGAAGTAGAATAGTCTGTAAACACATTTTAAATGTAAGCGACGCTACCGGCGCACCGGTTCCCCTAATGCTATCATATCGGAATTTCCGGAGGAGGAGGTGAACGCACAACCTAGAAGCATTACTGTCGCTCACTTATTCCTATAAAGCAAGAAACCTTACTGCCCTGGGCTACGATGGTAGAGCTGACTGGTCTAAAGTACTAAGATATACTACACTTGCCTAGTCTTATCACTACTCGAGAGAGAGATTACGAGTCTTCTTGCCTACCCTAGCCCTTTGGGACTCCGATTTGAACAGCTTATCCACGAGCTCAGTGCACTGACGATCAAACCAATAGACCCAATGGTTTTGAAGATTTATTCGCTGATTTTGATAAATAAGAGAGCTTTTGGAACATGTAGCTAAATAATGATGACGCGCGTCAAGATCAACTGTTGTCTTGAATTTGCACAGACTTTAAATTCACACTCATGCCTTGCACCCATATTTTGACCGACAATAGCTCTCCTCCTCGTCAGAAATCTAGCAGCCACTGCCACATGACCAATGGTGATCATAGCAGCTTCCAAATTTGGCCGTCTTCCTACACGAGACACCACTAGTTCCAACAGCAGAGCACGAGTTGCCGCCAGACTGGAGAGCCGCGAGGAAGGTATCACGAGCTTGCTTGGCAGAGATGCTGGAGCAAACCTGTGTGCAAGAGTAACTGCAGGTGGTGCCGGCGTCGTTGGAGGCAGAACAGGTTCTCTTGCATGCCTCAACTCCTGCGATGGCGGAGAGGGCGTACACGACGTAGAGGGGGTTGACCATCGTGATGAGCTCTAGAATACGCTATGTTAGTAAGACTGTAGAGGGATGGACAACATGGTGCAATTTACAGGAGTGCGTGAAGAGATAGTGTTGAGGGAGGTTATTTGTCAGTTGCTTGAGGGTGAAGGGCTTGGAAGTTGTTGCTCTTCGAGAGGACATCAGGTTATTTATACGTCGAGCAGATCCCTAATGATGCAAACGATATCTGATGATGGGAACCTTTTTACTTGCCTCTGATCTAGTCATACCTACACCTCTCCATCCTGCATCTTCCAGCGCTCGCTGCACCTCAATCACCAATGTGGACTGATCTCAACAACAAAAGCTCACTTTGAGTATTCGTATCGGGCTCCCTGCAAAGTCGAAGGTAGTATTTATCTCGTGATACCAGTTCTAGACCAAACAAATATCCCGAGCTCCATCCAATAACAATGATCATCCTGATCTGCTTTGCATACAAATTCACTAGTCTCATGCAAGTCGTATTTTATGTTGCATTGAGTTTTCAGCTGAAAATGTCCCGCACATAAATCGTCTCCACAGTCAATTCGAGCTTCCTATTTCATCAATGCGGAAGTTTTAGACCGGAAAGATCACCAGCGGCTGGACAGATTGATTCCCCGGAGAGTGCTGTGCCGTCCAGTAGTCGCATAACTTGCCGCTGAAGTGCGCTGTGCATGCCCGATTCTCGCTAGTATTTACGTGTGTATTTTCGTATTTGGCAAGTCGTCTCGGAATATCGCCTTTCCATACAGTCTATTGGCCCTCGATGCTCCCGACTTCCTTGGAGGGATAGCTTGCGAGATGGCTATTGGGGTTAGAGTTCTTTGGCGGGCGCTTGCTGCAAGGACCTTTTGATACCCCTCGCTTTGAAGTAACTACAGAAGCCTTTGCATGGAGAAACGATGCGTCTCACACGAGATTGAGGGGTAACGAGTGCCGCACAGTCTCAAAAGTATAACCTTTTGTCTGAATTGGAATGAATCCTGCGGGCTTAGGCCCATACGCTGGAAAGGCCTCTTGCCTCAGTCGTATCATCTGTAGCTCCTTGTGATAAGGGCAAGTCTTACACCTGAATGATTTCTTTGGCAGAGAGGTATACTGGAGTTTCCGAGTTCCGACATTCATGTTGCAGCCAATGTGATTTAGAACTTCATCCTATATTCTTGAGTATCAACATCGTGATATCCCTAATCGTCAGCGCAGCCAACTCTCAGTTATATGTCATCCGATCGACAGTTGGGCTCTACATATCTCCGATGTTGCGCGAGATAGCCATACTATTTTGCAGCGTCAACTTGAGGAGCAGTGGTAGACCTAACAGCCCTCTGAACCTTATAGACTGTCTTTTGAGCGAACGTAGGAAGTGAAGCAACGATTATCACTCAGGTTGCTCCATTGGAGTCTGAAGACATCTCTTAAGGGATTTTCTGGTCAGGTCGCGCTCACCAGGTCTACACCCCATGCAGCCTAACAAAAATTGAAGGAGGGACTGAAGTTCGTGACTCAATATTATATTACTGGCAAGACTCCTATATCGGATGTATAACCACGTGAGTATGTTTACGCTCTCCACTATAGAAATATCACGAAAACATCCAGCGTGTACAGTATATACTTCACCGTGCAGGATTGTACTCAAGTGACGGTGGTCAGCAAAATTCAACCCTAAAATATAACCAACAATGCTAAAATTGTACGGAACATACAGTGCGTGGCGATACCAAGTGACATGACGAGTCAGCCTCAACATGATATGATGATGCGGATCCCAAGGTCCCAGCGCAGCCGGTCAAGATCACGATATAAACACTAATAAATAAGCTAAGAAAATCCAAAATAAACAATAAACACGAAATCCTGGTACTTTACAAGGTACCCGAGCTCACACCGATCCAAAGTCAGATCGTCGGCATTTAGCAGTGGCAATACCGAGTGTGCTTGGTCAGACGGCGGTGGATCTCCGTTATTCCCGTGCACAACCACGATACTCACCGAACCTCATGGTCCAAGTACGTAGCGACGTACCACGAGCTCATGACAAAGAATCTGGCCGAGACGTGGATATTATGACTATTCTCCCGGTGTCGCAATCGCTCATGACCTTCAGTCTTTTAGTCAAGCGGTCCACTAAGTGGAGCTGCAACACAAGATGCCTGACCCAACGCGGCGGGTCTGGCCGAGTCGATCGAACGAGCTTGGGCCATTATTAGATTTCTTTAAATCTTCAGGCACGAGTCTTGGGATCGGCATCGGAAAAATGGCGTTGATTGGGAATAAGCGAGAGATACGTTCTCTTTTTTGTGTTGAGGCTCATGATGTGAAGATATATCGTGAGTGGAGATTGTTGGCGGTGGACGTCAGGTACTTTTACCGTATAAATAGAGTACAAGTCAATGACTGTACTCTCAAGATAAGATATCTGTATTCGACAGCAAGAGTTTTATCAGACATTGAATCAAGACAATACTATCAACATGGATCGATCAAGGTCGACCTCACCTACTCTGTTCCGCGAGGGCGCGGCAACTCCAGACATCGAAAGTGCAGCGACTTCGGTACCTCCGAGCCAGATAGACCTTTCCACTGGCCCAGATAACGAAAAACAACTAGAAAAAAGAGATATCGAGTCAGACGTCGGTGCCTGGCTCTGCGTCTTTGCATCTATGCTATTCCTGATATCTTCCTATGGTTAGTACTATCCGGCATCCCAGGAAGGTAATTACTGATCATTTAGGATTTATGAACTCCCTCGGAACAATCCAATCCCATCTCACCCTCAACGAGTTGAACGACTATAGTGTTAGTCAAGTCGGATGGATATCAGGAACCTACCTCTTCCTCTCGCTCATCTTCAACTTCCAAATCGGCTCTATCCTAGATCGCTATGGTCCTCAGATCCTCGGCCCGATCGCCGCAGCCTTCTCCACCGTCACATTCCTTCTCTTGGCTGAGTGTACGCAATATTGGCACTTCATCCTCTGTCTCGGCCTTTTTGGCAGTATCGGGAGCGGTATCGGTGCTGTCACGGCTATCGGCGTCATCGGCAAGCTCTTCACTCGACGTCGTGGCCTTGCCATGGGTATTGCTGTTATGGGCACTTCGCTTGGTGGCATTATTTATCCCATGATGCTACGCGCTACTTTTGGCAAGCTTGGTTGGGCTTGGTCGATGAGGCTTGTTGCGTTGGTCATCGCCTGCATCACGTCACTTGGCGTCTTATGCTATCTCCCCTTCCGACGACTCACCGAGGGAAAATCAACAGCTCAAAAACCCCAGAGCTTCACCTTGGACTTGTCGGCTTTCAAGTCTTCAAGCTTCGTCGTCACTGCCCTTGGTATCTGCATGGTTGAGTTCGTCAACTATGGAATCAGCGGCCTGCTGCCGACTATCGCAAGAGGAGCAGGGTTTTCTACCGAGGATGGATATACTCTTCTATCCATCCTGGGTGCCTGCTCTTGCTTGGGCCGTTTCTCGATTGGGTTCGTGGGAGACAAGGTTGGACCATTCAATGCTATGATCACCACGATGCTAGTCATTCTGGTGTTTATCTCGTCCATTTTTATCCCATTTAGCACCACCTCAGCTCCTCTCATGTATACCTTTACTGCACTTTGGGGATACTGTTCTGGATCTTTCTATGTCCTATCACCATGTAAGTTCACCCAACGTCATTCTTCATCACTGCTAACATACTGCAGTATGTACCGGAAAGACTTGTGAGCCTCAAGATTATGCGCGATATTTTGGTAATTTCATGGTTCCCATCCTTGGCAAAATTCAGATACTAACTCAAGAGAAGGCTCTACAAACATGTGTGTGGCTGTCGCACTGCTCCTTGCCAACCCACTAAGTGGAATCCTGCTCGAAAAGCTAGGCGCTCAGCTTCTGGGTTGCTTTTACCTCGCTATCATCGTACTAGCTGCTATCTTCTTTATCACAGGGCGATCACTGTTACTTGGGAAATGGCTCATCCTCCGCAGAAGGCTGTAAGAGGGACTTACGACTTATGGTGTTTTGTTTTCGCATAATTATTAGCAACAGCGCCACAAAAGGGCAGGATGACAACAAACCGGCGTTTTTTGAGAAATATCACAAAAGGTAATGAAAAGTGAATTAACTTGGACTACAAGGAATCTGGAAAACTAGAGGAAAATACTTAGAACAGCTCTTAGTAGGGAATACTTAATTATAATCCATTCACCGATTCTGTATAACTGCTGCACTAAAGGGGCATCGCTCAACACCAATTGTTAGTACCATAAGCATGCAGTTTGTCAATAGAGACATTCATATCATGTCTTGCGCCTCGTTCACCGGGCTACAATCTGGGACTGTAAGGAACAGGTCGAGAATGGCCGAGAGCTGTCATTGGCTGTGCTTTTCAGGAGGTTACTCCAGTGCGTTCAAATGCTTCCACTTCGAGTCAAGTCTGGTGGGGCTGAACTAAAGCTGAGCCTCGATACGAAGTTAGTCTACGCGTTCATCAGTCATGACTCCGAACAAAAGATGACATTACCAGTTGGGATTTCTCCCGTGACTTGCACGACATAATTATCCTACCAACAACCCAACAATACGCAATAGCTCACCAAATGAAGACTCGACGCATTGTTGGTCCGCTAGATCAGCGTAAAAGGCTAACACGCTGCCAGTCATGCGCAAGACGACGTATCAAGGTTAGAGCGCCATCGCAAAACATCATCCAACTGCAACTAACGCGGGGAAAAGTGTGAAGGGGGCACCCCTTGCGAGTATTGTATCCGTGTGAAGAAGGACTGTCAGCCTCAAGCTGCTACAGTCCCCGAGCTGAAATTTGTCCGCCATTCAGTGGTACCTCAACATACAAGGAACCTCCAGTCGCAAATAAGCGAGAAACCCGATAGCGTTTACCTGAAGACATTCTTCTTGTTTCTTCAACGTTGTGAATTTACACCTGAGTTTGCAAAACTTGGTTCTGACTTTCTGCCTCTTATCCAAACATGTGCACCACTACGAGAGGCAACAGTTGCGATTGGCGCCTTGGAAATCAGCAGGTCCCCAAGTACACGGTCTTCCGATGAGCTTCGATCGCCGTACCACTTTGCATTGAAGTCATATAGCAAGGCACTTGCAAGCCTCCAGCATTACATCCAATCACCACGCGCATTACATTGCCAAGGCGTTCTTTGGTGTACATTACTTCTTGGCTTATTTGAGGTAGGAAGCCAACTCACCTACTAGCTCGAATTAATCCTTCTTGTAGCTGATGATCGAAGTCTCTGGTGGCCAATGGGCTAAACATATGCTCTATGGCACTTCAAAAATACTTGATCTTTCTGGCACCGACAATCGTTCTGATTATCTCCGCTGTCAGTCTTTTGAAACATTCAGGCTGTTGGAGGCCAATCGAGCGATTCTGTACGGTGAAGATACCGTACTATCCGACTACACGTGTACGGGCCAACATGACCTGATCACATCAAACCCACTGGACGAAATTCTGAACTTCATGATCAAAATATCCTCATTCAGTAAAAGGTTAGTTTCTTAAAAGCATCAAGACCAGTACTTACCAAGTGCCAGTTTCTTCGATCGAATTGAGTCAATTCCAGATAATCAACGACGTGATCATCCAGACCTAGACATACTGGTCACACAAAGCTGTCTTTACCAATACGAACTTCAGTCTTGGTATTCCCGGTGCAATACATCGATCAAATCGCCTGGACCATATGCAAAACTCGCATTGGCAAGTTACCATGCTCTCCAGTTATTCCTCTGCAGAAATTTCACTTTCTATGACTGCTGGGATACGAGAGTTTTTCCTGTTCTCACCTCCAAAGAGATTGATACTCATGTCGCCAGTGTGATCTCTTGTTGCTCTGAAATACTCGAGTATTCTCATATCGCTGGAGTGTTGGCAATATTTCCACTTCGAATGGCGGGTGCGAACTCTGCAGATTCGAGAGAGAGGAAAGAGATTATAAGGCTACTAGATCTAATATCACAAAAAGGATTCGTCGTTTCAGGGAGGATTAAAGCCGATTTAGTAGAGCTATGGGAGTGTCAGTACTTGAACAGTAAAGAGGGGGGTCAGAGCTGATTTATTGGCATAGGTTCTGAGAACCTGGACCCAGAAGGCATCATATAACTCGACCAATAATCTATTCGATAAATAAGACGGTGTTATTAAACTACATTTCTACTCTAGCAACTCGAATACTTGGGGAAAACCTCATCGCGGCGAAAAACCCCACCAATCACTGAACAGCCTACTTCGCCTGAATGTTGAAGAACTCCATGATGACCCGGGTACGCAGCTCCGGCGCAAAGTAATCGTAGCCAACAATAACACCACACTCGTTAACGAACACTGTGACGGGAATTGCATTTTGGTACATCATGCTCCACTGCAATGAAAATTTAGCAATCACTCTTCCGTATGCATGAAAAACTTACTGCTGCAACGGGATTCGGAGTGAAATCCCTCTTGACAAACCCCTCAAAAACAGCTCCATTATCAATCAAGACAGTCTTGTTGAGGATAGGATAATTCGAGTTCACGTATCCTCTCCAAATACTTGGCTTGGACTTCTTGGGATCATATGTAGTCAGGATGTTGTCAACCAGGCCTGATTTGGTGACGTTGGAATAGTCAAAAGTCGAGGATGCAAGAACACCGTCGAAGGCTTCATCCGCGCGTACGAAGCCCTTGGATGGGGAGTTCTGGATGAAGCCAGCTGTGATATGTGACAATTCACCATTCCTGAGTTCAGGTAGGTAAGATGCAGAGCAAGTTGGATTTGATGGGACGGCTCACCACTTGTGCTGTACGAAATGTGCTTGATATTCTGGCTTGACAGCAGGCGGTTTGGGCTCTTTGAAGCCATAAGAGAACGGAGTCATTGAGGCAGGGAAAGGAGGGCAGCTGGAGGAAGAGGCTACTCCGGCCAGTGCAGTAGCAAAAGTAATGAAAAGAACGTTGAAGGTGTGCATTGTGAAGTAAATAGTAAGAGATGCTTTTCTGAATGAATGTGTTTTGAAATTCATTCCCATGGATATTGCTTTGTCTTTATACTGTAAAGTTGAACGACACTACATGTTTAGATGCGTTCAGTTACTGCTGGATTGGGTTAGACTCACTTGTCATTGAAATGAGGCTGAGTTGTTCACGAAATGAGGACGACGGCGATCCTGCGTTTAAATCTTTCCTATTTTGTATGTCTTCAATTCATCTTGGATTTAACTCCGATATAAAAGTGTCAAGTAAATTGAAATGAGTTTACCCTGTCCCATGGGCCATACGTCAAATTGCCACGACTTTGACGAACCAGTCCAGCTGCTTTCACTCAACTAAACATTATTCAGCAAATACAAACAACAGCCCAATGAGTGAGATTGAGTCTAGCTTGGTTATCTTTTAAAAAACCTCGGCGATAGATTATGTATCAGTTGAGAAAAGGGAATATCACTGTACTTATAATTATGTTTGGACTTGGGGAGTCTCGCTCGAGTCATGTTTAACGAACTACTGGTCCCAAACGAGTCATACCCCGGACCGGGTCTATGGTCACGGGTGTCAGCAATATACGTATTACAAGCCAGAATATTTACATTTATGCTTACTCTGTTTATTCCCCGGCTCAGCCTCAAAAGTTCCATCAGCGGCAAGCTCAACCTCCGCATTGAACAGCTCTGCTCCCTCTCTTACCCGTCGCCTAACGGCGCCATCCTCATATCCGTCCATCTCCATTGGACGATTCAACCCAGCCTGCCTCAACTTACGCCCAAAGCAAGCCATATCATCATAATAAGCGTAAAAAGTGCAGAACTGGCTGACCGCTGTATTTATGGATACTATTAATAATTCGGCCCCCACCCAGGACTTTTGCACAAGCGCTTGCACCTGGAAATAGCTGTACAATGGCACCGCCAAGAATCATGTATCACCCAAGTCCCAGAAATGATGACCGCAGCAATTTTCGCTTTACTAAGTTCAGCTGCTACTTTCGAGCGCATTGACGTGGCTGCTACGCTACATTTGGCTGTTTTTTTCGATCGCCATTAGAATGGGACCTTGGACCACTGTTACACTGGCCTCGTATGCGCGTTGTCTGTCAGCACGGGTGAGATGGCCAATGGAAGGGCATTTAATCTTACGAGCTTATGAGCTTGATTGTTAGAACCCGGCACAGCCTCAAGGACGTGTTTGGGGCTTGGATGTATATAAGAACAGCTATTCAATTCTATTCAATTCATGCCTTTTGGTCCATCAACTCAGTCAGAGCCGTTATAGAACTCTCTTGCCTTTTGTTTCATTCCTCTCGGTCAACTTTTGCTTGTTTTTTATCTCAACATGGGGATCTTACCTCGTGGATCGTCTGACTATGGTGCCAACAGCCTCTGCACAACCCCAGCATGTATCGAGATTGCAGATGATATTCTAGGCAGCATGGCCACTAACCATGCAAAGATTGACCCATGCACCGACTTTGATGAACGTAAGTCTCCTTCTTTCTTCTATTCATGAGCTATCGGTAAGCTAATATCTTCATAGTCGTCTGCGGCAACTGGGCAGAGCGCAACCCAGTCCCAGCAGGCGCGATGTCTGTTGATGTCCTTGGAGCCGTTCAATACCACGTTTACGATCTCGTTCGACGCGTTCTCGAAGGGCCCTACCCTTCCGGCCCTGACGCCGGCTGGATTACGGTCAATCTCACCAAAGACGAGATGAAGGCTGACAAAGAGAATTTTGTCAAACTACAGGAAGCTTACCAAGTCTGCATGAACACAACTGCCCATGAAGAAGAGGGTCTCAGCCAGCTTCGACAAGTGGCCAAGACGATTGTCACAACACTTCCTGCTTCCGGCAACGGAAAGAATGGAACTGTATATGATCACTCAAAGGGGATTGGTCAACTTATTACTCTGTTCGAAAGTCTGGGCATCGAGACAACGCAGAGGTTCATACAGATCGCAGAACCGCTGAACCCTGACAAGATGGCCCTTGGCATCCAGCCACCCACGGATTCCGGCCTACCATCTACTCCTGAGGATATGTTTGAGTTCGTTAAGATTGCAAGCGAGCTTATTTACTCTGTTCATCCTGCCAACTTGACCAGAGGCGAGGCTAAGATTTTGATGGAGTCCGTCGTCAACCTTCAGCTCTCGCTCCAACCCGTGGCCGCCCCAGAGACAAATTCGACAGAGGAGGCGGGCCAGGAACAGGATACCGAAGATACTCCTGATGCGACTCCATTCGTGTCTATCACTGATATTCAAGAGCTCGCTCCGCAACTGAACTTCAAGTATGTCGTTGACCAACTTGCGCCCGAGGGGTTCGATGATTCCAAGATCATACTCGAGTCCGCGGAGCTACACCACAACATCTCGCAGAAGTTCTCCCAGACACCTCCAGAAGTCATCCAAACTTACTTCCTTTGGAAAGCCATCGCTGCTGTGTCCATCTATGTCGACTCGCCACAGACCGAGGCCTACAACACGTGGAAGACGAAGCAGCAAGGCAGAGATCCCGGCAGTCCTCCACCTCGCTGGCAGCGCTGCGCAATTCTTCTCGACAACGGCGTTGATTGGATCACAAATGACAAAGTCGCTCCTCAGCTCGTCGGTCCCACAGGCTTGACTTGGATTCTCGCCCGATTCTTCGCCGATAAGCACTTTACGCCTGATGCTAAGAAGTTCACATCTCAGATCATCGATAATCTTGAGGAGTCTTTTATCGGGCGCATTGGGACCAGAGCTTGGGCTACCGATAAGGTCAAAAAGACTGCCGTTGAGAAAGTTCGCGCCATGACGAGCAAGATCGGCTTACCAACTTCCCCCCACGTCACTGATGCCAAGGTCGTGAACAAGTTTTACTCTGACATTGAAATCACGCCGTCTTTGCTCCTCAATACCCTTTCCTTCGCAAAGTCTCGGGTTGCCAAGAACTGGGCATCTCTTGACAAGCCTGTTGATCGCCAGAAGTTCCCGTCTAGTACTCTGACCACCAACGCCTTCCATCAGCCCTCGGGAAACACCATGGTAATCCTAGCCGGCATCCAGCAATCTCCGATTTACAGCGTCGGCTATCCCGCATACATTACCTACGGCGGTATGGGAAGCATTGTTGGGCATGAAATCACACATGGTTTCGACAACAGTGGCCATCAGTTTGACAAGACGGGTAACAAGAGTGCATGGTTTGATGAAAAGTCTACAGCAGGATTTAAAAAGTCCAGTGACTGCTTCGTCAAGCAATACGGCAACTTCACCATCACCGGTCCTGATGGAGAAGAGGAGAAGATCGACGGAGATCTCACGTTGGGCGAGAACGTTGCAGACGCCGGGGGCATTCTCTCTAGCTTTGCCGCTTGGAAGAAATGGGAGAAGGACAACGGGAAAGCGCAAGATCTGCCTGGGCTCGGTAACTTCACGCATGAACAGTTGTTCTTTGTCAAGTGGGGTCAGAATTGGTGTGAGAACATCAAGCCTGCGCAGGTCATTGCTGGGTTGACGGATGAGCACAGTCCTAATCAGGCTAGGATCTTGCTGCCGCTGAAGAACTCTGCTGATTTCCAGCGGGCATTCAAGTGTCCTCAGAAGAAGCCTGTTTGCGAGCTTTGGTAGATGGTATAGTCTGTTGTCTGTATTGTGTATCGCATTCTCTCTGATGTCGATTGACCATGTCTCGCGACTCATTTGTATTTAGTCATCACTTCTATCTCAGCTAGCCTTTTCTAGATCAGACTTCCCCATGATCCTTTCATTACATGCCGAAGTTTTAGACAGCGAAATGCTGATCCTGCATATCCAGACTGTTTTCTTTCGGGTTAGCGGGATCCTGCATTGAAAGTGGATATGGTTAAAGATAGCCAAGCTCCAATTGGACAAACCGTAAGAAATCTGACAGAAATGCTAAAATTAGAATCCGCATGATCAGACGAGGGAGATCCACTGGCTACAGAACCTCGGTAATTTCGACCCTTTCTTCCGCTGGGCTCACTACCCTACAGCTAAGAGTTTCATCACAAATTAAAACCAACGAACAACCTGCTGAATGCCAGTTGAATAAGTTGTAAGTAGTAAAGACTCACTCAAGTC